CTGGAACCAGCCCTGTTTGTCATACTCTATACTCAAAGATGCTTCCCTTGGTCTCTTTGGCAGATGCTCTGCACATTTGTCCTGCTTCCTCTAGGTAGTTCCAGCATCAGCTTGGTTTGGTAGCTGAGCACTGGGTTCATTTTCTGAAGGGTTTCCAATCCAGTCATGCTGCTGGAGCAAGAGGCAGTAGCTCTAAGTCACTAACAGCCTTTAGGTGTTTGTCTGTTGATTTACTTTCTGGCAATGCACCAAACACATTTGTTAATCCACCTTCTCTCTGTGTTTCCCAGCACTGGAACCCTCACCGTTAGCTGTTGGGTGTGATTTCAGATGTGTCTTTGGACAACACATCTCTGGGTGATGTCCATCAGGAACTGGAAGACACCAGGAGTTATCATTGCTGCTGGGTGCAGCTGAAAGCAAAGGGTTGTGGGCAGCAGAGGTCAAAGGGACTTAGTCTTTCCTGTCCCCTTCTCACTAAGGACAATACACAGAAATAAGGGGTTTTCAGCAGTGTCTCACTAGAGTGTAATTGCCACTAACTGCACTGTAATTAGGTAATCACTGTAACAAACACAGCCTGAGGCAGGGTGCACCAACGCAAATGCAGCCTGTGGTGATGTGGGCTTTATGGCATTCTGGAAGCGTTGTCTGCCCTGTGACAACATCCAAGGCCAGCCCTGGGCTGTGTTTTGTACATACACGTTTACAGAGACAGCCAAGACGTGTGGGGAGAGCACGGCAAGACAAGGATCAGTCTGTTCTTGCCTTGTTGCTTTGGCTTATCCCATGATGCAAACATCTGCTAATCAGGTAGTTGGACAGATGCCCTGACCCGGTGTACAGCAGTAGGAAAGTGTCTGGGAGGGGTGGCTCAGTGCTGTGTGTGTGGCACCCTGACTGTGATGGTGTTTGCATGTATTGATCATGCCACTGAACTCGGTTAAACCTCGTGTTTTCTGCCATCAGTGCTCAAGTTGCTCCAGGGCTGTATGGCAGGTTCCTGATTCTATACAAGAACCAAGAGCTTGTTTGATTCAAAGTCACAGATTTCTTTCCTTTTGCATTGAAGAGAAACCTCTATAAGCTGTTGGTGCTATTAGGACTTATATCTATACAAATAAACAGCAGAACTGCTCCCAGTGTGTTTTCTACCTCCTGCCTCTCCCCTAGTTTTGAGCTTTCTGTGCCTCCTTTTCCCCCTTCCTCTGGCAAGGCTTGCTGGGGCTGAAATATGTGCAATTTGGAGTCTTTCTCTATTTCGAAAACTGCTGCTTTATCAGCCTTGATGGCTGAGGAAATGGTACCCAACACCTACATGGAAATGGTGACTGATTTCAGGGTGACTGCTTGCGGTTTTCTGCAAGGTTCCAGCTTGTTCCATCCCTCCTGGTGCATTCACCTGCCCTGAGGTGGGTAGTGCTGCTGCTTGCACATGCAGGAGTTTATCGCTGTTGGCTGTGAGCTGAGCAGAAGGGATTTTGGGGGTTCAAATGAAGAAGAATGGTACTTTCCTCCTCTCTGAAGGACTACAGAGAGCTGTAGTCCTACAGCTCCTGCAGAGCTGGCTGGTTGCTTTGGACTGACCAAACAGATGAAGAAAAATATGAGCTTTTCAAACAGGGGCAGGTCTGCTTGAAGCAATAGTCAGGTTATTGGCGGAGGGAAGATGAGTGTATCTCTTCTGGAAGCTGAGCTGGTTTGTATCCCAGAGGAATATGCTGATACTTGGTAGGCCTCCAATGCCTGCAACTGAGAAGAGGACATGCCTATTGATTTTCCTTGCTGGTGTCTCCGTGTTCCTGTGCATTGCATCCAGCAGCCCAGATTTAGAATTCAATCTGTGTCTGTTTGTTTCTTGACAGAAGAGGATGAAATAACAGCCAGGCTCTGTTTGCTTTATAGCCAGGAGTAGAGAGCTGTGTCTTACCATCAGCATAAACTGTGCAGGGGTTTGTGATGTTTCAGATGAGTGATGCTGCTACTCTGTGGAAGTAAATCGCAGTGCTCTGGAGTGAGCCCCAGGTTCTTCTGTAGCAGTGCACTTGGAAAGAAGCACATCAGAGGCACATCTTTCTCACAGCACTAGGAGTGGCAGACACAGAGTTGTTCATTCAAGCTTGGTGCAGAATCCAGGGATGTCAGAACCTGTTTTGAGAGGTGGGGAGTTCACAATCTATACTGGAGGGGGTGAGTGACGTCCAGCAAGTCACTGACCCTCAGAGGTCCAGCTTGGCTGAGCAGAGGAAGGACCATCTCTTAGCACAAGGTCGGTATGGGACTGCAGTGAAACAGCAGATCCTTCTTTGCCTTGCTCTAGTGCATGCCACAGGAGTGAATTGGACCTGGGAGTTATCTCTACATAAATCTGAGGATTCTATAGTGAATTAGGGAACTGGAAACAAGGCAAAGTGAATGGAACCATTTGTCTTCTCGCTGCTGCCTTCTATTGCATCTTCCATCTTTCCTGAGCTTGCTGAAGTACATGGAACAAGCAGGTCAACAGGGGAAGAGAATGAGAAGTGCTTGGCCTGGCGCCTGCATTTACACTGTGTTGGTGAGCTTTGAATTGGCAGTTCTTCTCTGCAATAGAAGAGAATTGCAGAGCTTTCCAGGAATTGTTTGTAGAATAGGGAAAATACCCAAGACACACCTGAGTTCTAGTGGAGGAATTCGATGAAGGGCAGCGTAAATGCAGCAGATGGTGCTTGGCTAGGGAGGAAGGCAGTCATGGGGCCTCCTTGTCCATGTTCAGCCATGGTGGTTTGAGTTCTCCCTGCGGCTGGAGATGCTCTGACATAACCTCCCATCAGGGGACTTGGGCAATTCAAGGATAATGTGGCCCTTATGTTCTGGTCCCAACTGGGAAGATTGAAGCCATGGCGTTCCATGTGTGCATAGGGGACTGCCCTTCCCACCAGGAGCTTTGTGTTCCCTGACCTCTGTAGATGTCCTCAGCTCCCTTCCGGAAGGCTTGCAGAGGTGAGCAGACCCCTCATAGCTGTACAGGTTTCTTTAGGAGGTGGTATGGAGAAAGAAGGATCTGTTTGGTTTCCAGACCCCAGTAATTTCATGAGAGCCAGCAACCAGCCTTGGACTGGCTCCTGGACTGGAATTATATCAGGAATCAGAATATTTCCAAAGCCCTCATCGGTCTCTGGCTTCCAGGAAGTTATAGGAAATACGGAACAAAGAGAGCGTATTGTAACTTACAGAGAAACAATCTTCATTGGAGCAGGTACTGACTGAACTTCACATTTTCCATGTTATTCCTAAAAGCATTTTGCCTTGCGCCTCGTCAAAGAGCTGTCCAGGAAGAGCAAAATTGACCTAGTGAGTAGGGGACATTACCAGGGAGAATCCTGGGGGCATTTCACCTGAATGGTGAAGAAAAAGAAGATACGTGGGACCCTACGGGGTCCTTTTCATGGGGTCATCTTGTTGGGCAGCCGGACAGGTGTGCAAGATGAGGGCAAGTATATTCCAAGCTCCCTGCCTGGCAGGTGTTTAGGAGGTATGGATTCATTATCTCCTGTTGAAATGGGTTTCCTCACTTTTAGCATCAGCAGTGCTGCAGGGGAGCTCCCATGGGATGAGCTCTGGGGCCATCTCTTCTTTCCGCAGCTCGGTGTTGGTTTCACTTCAGGCTGGATTGGCAATGATTACCTGGGAGGGGTTCGGTTACACTGAGCTTCAACAAAAGCACCACCAGATGCTCAGGGAATGTTTTAAACGTAAGCTCTAAGCCTGGTGTTGTTTGGAGGACTCTTTCCCAGTCCCCATGGCTAATGCTTGGAGGTGGCTGACGGTCTGCTGTAGCCTTGGAATCTTGCTGAGAGGTGAGTGGATAACTTTCTCATACAGGCAGACTTCTGGTTTAGTCTGGTTTGGTTTTACTTTGGTTTTAGTGGTGCTGATATGGTTACCTCCAGAAAGCTATAAGCTAACAGAGATGGTGGTTGTGTATATAAATATATATGTACACATGTATATATGTGGCTTATTCTGGTCATAAAGAGATGAATGTAGCTGCCATTCTTCCAGTCTTTTCTAGGAATTTATTCAGGGAGAAGGCAGGAGAAGGTGGGGCATCTATTCACCATGAGGTTTTAATGGTCTGAAGAGAGAAAAAAGCCTGAGCATGTCAGTGTTTTCAACATAGAAAGTATGGAGAGCAAAAAGGGCAATAGTAACTCAGGGTTTGTTCTGTTCTTTAAGTTCAGGTTTCAGCATCTTTGTATTCATCACCTTTCTCTTCTGGAACATGAAGTCAAGAGACATCCTCAAGAGGGCTGGGTGAAATGGTGGAGTGCTGTGTCCCATTCATAACCACCATTCTTCTATAAAGGCAAAGCAATGTTCTTAACAGTAAAAGTCATTGCTCTAGTACTACTAGTGCCATTGACACTGATGACAAAATAGTGCAGATACTACATTATGGTGTGATAATAACTGGGCATTAACTTAGAGTCATGAATTTGTACCTTCATTTATTTCTTCTGCTTTCTTCTTAGGGGCCTTTTCCCTCTCCCCAGGCTGTAGCACAGACTGCCAGACCCACTGCCTCATAGCCTGCAGGCAGGGATATTACTACACAGCTGGCAACTGCTTGGAATGTCCAACAGGTTTCTAGTAAGTCTCCATCTTTCCTTCCCTCCTGCTCGGCACTGCAGGAAGGGAGTTGAACACTGGGGACATCATTTTTACTCAGAATATCCTGAGAGCAGTCTTACAATGCAGATCAGGAGGTGGGGCACAAAGCGAGGTGCCCGGTCCCTTATAGGTGATGGGGAATCCACTGTCTTTGACTTAAACTGCCATCCAGGGCTTTCTACAGCATCCGGAGCAACCCTCGAAGTCAATGGGAGTGGGGAATGTACAAAACCAGTTTCCCTTTGCTATTGCTTAGGGCAGATCTTGTGCCCTGTGTGTGTTTAGGAGGGGCAGGGATGTTGTTTGGAGTCAGGTTTCCAACTTCTTTATTTCTGATCCAGTTGCCCTGGGGGTCAAGCAGCTCCAAGGAAATGCCCACTGGGAACAGCCAATGTACTTACGGCTCAAACAGATATCACTGCCTGCCAGGTGAGCTGGGGGACAGGGGGAAAGAGCAAGCAGTAAGTAGTGCTTTCTGCCTCTATTCCCACCTATTCTGAACCGTCAGGCTTCTTCCCAGATTTTACAGTCTGCTTTGACATTGTTCGGGATATTCCTGCACTGTTTGGCTCTGATTTGGCTCAGAGAAAGCGGCTTGCTCTGATCATGCAAAGAATGCGTCCCCGTGGATCTGATGCTCCTTGTGATCCTACTGCAGGTTTGTCCCCGTGGCTACCTCAGCCTTGAGAGTGGAGCTGGGTGCCGTGCGTGTCCAGAGGGATATTCCTGCCATCCCCAAAGCGGTGTGCAGAGGAGCTGTGCTCCTGGTCAGTACTCACCAGAGGGAGACTTGGAGTGCCAGGAATGTCCAGAGACTTACATCTGCCCGGATGGACAGAGCAGACAGGTACAGAATGAGTGTGTTGTTCTCCAATGGTAAACTTGGGGTAGGCAGAAGTGAGTCGTCAGGACGAGTCAGGCTTCCCTGCTTTCATAGTAGGATATAACCTTTCTTCCTCAAGGAAAAGCATTCAGTACACTTCAGTGGTGTACAGTAGACCTAAGGCCTTCTACAAGTAGCCTTTATTAATAGAAATAAACGTTTCCCATCTAAATTGTGAGGCTGTTAGTGCTCAGATTATCTGCCACCGCTAAAACCCTCAGCTGAGGGCTCAAAAAGCCTGGAGCTTGAAGTACTCTTTTTACTTCCCTGGTGGTGGGAAGGGAAAAGGCAGACAAGGAGGAAGCAGGAGACAGAATGAAGCGCTTTCAGATAGAATGAAGGGCTTTTTCCTGCCTCAGGCCTCCCTGGGACACAGCTTTGAGCAGCAATGGCCATTTGGACCTTGTGGTGGGATCAATTCTTGTTTCTTCCCTTTAGCATTGCGGGGCTGGTGAGCAGCCGAATCCAAGCCGCACTCAGTGTATAACCTCCGCTCCCGGCCCTTTCCCAAGGGAAGACTCTCTGCTGTGCCAGCCCTGCCCAGCAGGTAGGTACATCTCACCGTGTCCTCTATAGGCATTAGACCCTAAGGAGACTGCCATGGCACTTTGCTCTGGTAAAGCTTAGCTGGCAGTTTGGGAACAGAGGTTGGTTCCTTGTGGGACAGCAGCACTGGAGGTTAAAACCAGCAGATGCCATCAAGAAGGGTTCCTGAAAAGCAAGTTCCTCAAGTGCTGCTGAGCCATGAGGAAAGCTTTGGCTTCCCCTTCCCTCCCAGAAAGCTCTCCCTCTCTGTGGGTTTTAACTGATCATCTGTGAAATTGATTCACACACAGTTATGTCTTTCTCCACTTCAGGGGCTGGTTTCACAGGCTATCACTAATACCCATTTATAGTGGGTGCTGTAGCATTCAGAATCAAATAAGGCCACGCTGTGGTTTTTTACCTAATTCCTCTCTCTGCTTGACACTCTCAAAGACATGCAGATAGGCCCATGTTTAGGTGGTTGCAGTGTGTTGTCACTGGTGGGGGTACAAATTCCTCACTGAGATGCTGGTGCAAAATTAGGCAGCAGGGGAACAGAATAGGAGGGACTGGGCAGAGGATGTCATTTCACGTGATTCCTTAGCCAGAAGGAAATGATGGAGTAACTGTGAAAGCACCTTAACTTACAGTCTGTGAGCGTTTGTTTGGGGATAATCCCAACACAAAACCCCAAAGCTTTGTGTTTGTCCAGGCTGGGAGCGTGCAGCTCTTCAGTGACATTGGAGGTTAAGCTGTCCTGGTACTGAAGGGCTGCTTGGCTTAGTTTCCCCATAAAAAGAGAGCTTTCTGCAGCATTAAAACCCCTTATGCATCCAGGAGAATGAGTATAAGCCTAGAGAGGATTTGGTAGCCCAATATTAGCTTCCTGTTGGGCTTGTCTCCTGTGATACAGTGCAGTGCTTTGGTGTCCCTCCAAGGTCCTCAGCATCAGTTCAGCTCCATTCTTCACCACAGTCCTTGGTAAGAGGGAAAGTTGGGTGCTGCAGTAGCAGGAATATCATTGAGAGTTCCCTCCACCCACCTTCAGACTTCATTTCCAAGCACACTGGCCTTACAGGGAGAGCATGGGGTAGCTCTTACTACAGAGATGCAGTTGTGATCTGCAGTCCTATCATGCTTTTCCTTCTCCTGTAAGCCCTACACAGCTCCAGGTGCCTCCTGCAGAGTCACTCAACTCAGTAACTTAATTCTTGTGTCTGTAATTAGAATCCCTCTTATTAAATAATGAAGAGTTCCTGTGCTCTGGGTACCTTACGTGTTGTGCAGTAGAAGGAGAAATGGCGAAGCTAAAGAGATCATGCTAGAGCAAGACCTCAGGAGTTTAGATTTAGTTATAATAGAGAGACGAGAGGACAGAACAGAGGATTTCTCTACCTGCCATGCACAGGATCAGCCAAAGGCTGCAGTCAGGTTTCACCTCCAGTCTATCAACCACAAGACCTGAGAGAGCAAGTGCGAATCTCCTGATGCTCAACACGTTCAATATATGCCAAGGATCCCAAGGTGAAATTCAGTGTTAAATGAGTACCTCTTGTGTCCTTCAATTAGAATAAGTCATCCAGCCCAATTGCAAAGCCCCTACATGGTAAGGAGTTTGACTACCACCACAAGCAGGAGAGGCCTGAGGATTCCCAGTGGGATATTTCATGGTTTGCCTGAGTTTAATTCCATATAATCTGTGTACTCAACATCGTGTGCATGGGAATAATGTGTCATTGCTATTCTAATACATAGCAACACATCTGCACTTAGCAGTGGCACTTCATGCCAGAGGTAAATCCTTCTTTTCACTCTTCAAATATCCATCTGGAATTTAGAAACTAGTTGATACTCAGGGTTTACAAAGCATTACTTGGAAAGAACAATTCATTGTAACTGGATATGAGCATTTCATCACTAGATGTGCAACTGGCAGGAGGATCTCAAGGGAAAGAGGAATGTGGTCCTTAGAGCAGGAACACTTCAGCTCATCTTTCCATTTTGGAGAGAGCAGAAGAATTGGAATAGGAAGAGAAGAATTAACTCTGATGATGCCAACTAATAAAACTAACTGGGATATTTAGCTGGAAATGTCACTGTATGTTTTGAATTGGATTTGAATCACCAGCTCAGGTTTTACCTAAGGAAGAAACACTTTTGGATGGGAAATGGATGAGAATTTACCAAATCTTGTCAGAATTTCCAGACTCAAAGATTTGGGCTATCTCTAATGTGCTGCTTCTCCCTGAAGTGACCTGCTGGTTTCTTCCACTGATTATGCCCATGCATCTCTGCTTCTATTGCAGAACCAAGCCTTCAGGGTGCAACGTTCAGACACCATGGTATGATTTAGCCGTGGATACTTGAGCTTTCCCTTTATCCCCTGCAACACAGACATGCATCAGCGTGCAAGAAACCCAGCAGCGCTCTGCTCTGACTTACAATGTCATTGCTAAACCACAGGTTGTTTTCTTCTTCTCTGTAGGTCACTTCTGTCCTGATGGCCTTGCAGTCCCTCCATGCCCAGCAGGGAGTTTCAAGCCCAAAGAGGAGCTTCACCCCCCCAGCAGCAGCAGCTCCTCATGCTTGCCAGGTCTGTGTCATAAAAGATCTTCATTTTGGGCACTGGGGTTATAATTCTCACTGTAAATCACGCTGTTAAAGCACATTCTTGTGAAGGGTCTGCAGCTACAGTACGTGTTTACTAGGCTCTGGCTCAGGCAGTCCTAGAGCTCTGCATGAAAGGACCACCTATGGAACTGCCTATGAATCACCAGATTTGTGGTGAAGCATTTGGGGATTACAAAGCTGTTACATCTAGAAGTTACTATCCCCTTATTTCACTTCACTTACATCACTTATGGACTTGGACCCTGATACTTAGATCTCTGCCCTATGCAGACACTTGAAAGAAGTTGCCATGGCAGGGAAAAGTGATGCTTGTACTTAGAGCAGAAGGAAAGAAAACCAAGGAGCAACCTGACACAGTGTGCTAAAGGCATCCAGCAGGTCAGCTGTGAAGCCAAAGTCAGCAGCTGCCTGTTGCTAAAGCTTATTCAACTGTGTCAGCTTTGCATGAGTCACCTTTTTTAGCACAATTCTTGTAGCAAAGGGAAATAAGGTTACAGATTAGGCAAAACTTCATTGTATCAATCAAAAAACAATGGAATTGAAGCCTTCGGAAGCGGTAGAAGCCCTGCCCTTAAGAGTGCCACTTTCTTATAGTGCCAAGTAGATGAAGCAGCATGTCGTGTTCTGAAATGCATGCAAGGAGGTAGGCACAAAGCTTCCACAGGTTTCCAGCTCTCTTCTGTGACCTTTCCTTTGGTTTGCACCCAGCAGGGCTGAGTTCCTGGGAAACCTGTGGAAGGTGATTGGATTTTGCAGTTTAGTAACGGATAAATGAATCGAGAAGGACAGAATAATGGAGCATGGTAACTACATCTTTGCTTAGACATGCAAAGGGAGACCTGGCTTTCTGCTGCAGCAATTGCATGCTGCTGAGGCAAGCTCTGCCTGGGTTTGTGCCCTGCAGAGTAACTCAGTGTCTCACAGAGGTGTAGAAATTGCTGCTTCCTCCTTCACAGTGCTGTACAAATGGGGAAAGAGAGACAATCAGAGGGATGCTCAGGGGATGAGCTCAGTTCACTCGAGTAAACTTTGGTCCAAGTCCAGGATGTTTTATCCAGGGTCACAAATCACCGTGTGCACTGGTAGGAGCAGAAACCTTGCGTTCAGCTGCTCAGTGGTCATGTTAGGCCTGTAGTGCTTTATGTACTGAGTCAATTATGCTAAGGAGCATTTGGCAAAGGCGGGACAACACCTGCAAAGCAGGGGATATGTGAATAAACCCTGAGTATTTCGTGTACGCTATCATGAGATAGGTGATGGCTCATATGGTTTAGCTAAGTGGTGTGGATTCTGGTTCTGTCATATGGCATTCCCACTGGATTTGCTGCTGGCACAGACCCCCATCATGCAGCTGTTTTCATCTTAAGGCAATGCTTAAAGTTCCATGAGGTTGCAGCCCCCCTTCAGCTGCGTTGACTCCGTTGCTATGCTCAGAGCTGGGGGATTTTATAGCCTTGAGAACTTCAGACCTGGTTCTAGCGAGCTTTTGGACCCTTGTGTTCTTCTGGGCCGTGTGGAGTAAAGGTAAGGGGGAAACAATGAGGGTTTTGTGGGCTGGGAATGAGCAAGTGGGTGGAAGGCAGAGGTGACCCTTGAACTTGCTTTGCACCCTGAGGAATCCTGATGTGGACCTGCACCTTCCCTCTGTGGAGGGGGAAACCTGGGCTTGAATAAATCCTGGTCATTTTGGGGTGCTGGAGAGCTCTATTCCAGCCTGCAGAAGCACATACACACCGGGATGTGCTTGAGCCTTGCTTCAACAAGCGTTTGGAAGGCAGCAGGGGTTCAACCTGGGAGTACTCCATCAGCCAGTGTTTCCCTTCCCCTTGAATTGCTCCAGTTGCTTTGTGCAGGAGTGACACTCCTGTGCTAAAGTTGTGTTTCCTCTTCACCCACTGAGATATCTGGGGGCATCTTGTGACGAAATGCACTTTCTGAGCATGGTAACAGCAGGAAGGAATCGTTGGGTTATTACGTCTTGATCTTACTAGCGTTCCTCTAAGTCACAATGCACGCCTCCTGTTTAACAGCCAGGATTTTAGGGGTGCTCACAGCTCACTGCTTGTCATTCAAGCCAGGTATCCACGGGTCCTGAGCATATCTCCAGTCTGTAAAGCATGGAAAACCCCATACAAGCATGGAAAACCCCAGGCTCTCTTCCAGCAGAAGCCTGAGCATGAGGGTTATTAAATGTACCTGCAGCAGAGCATGGTTTAAGGCTGATGGTTTTATGTTTAATGTGTCTCATTTCTTGTCCTGTTGTCTCAGAACACAATCCAGATGGTCTTACTGCTTGCATGAGCCACTAAACCTCACTAGCTTTCAGCTAATCCAACAGCACCACCTTCTGGCATTGCAGTGATTTTATTGTTGGTACAAGCAAAGGAAGCACATTCCATGGGACCCTCTGTTTTGTCAGCACATCACGCTTCCTTTGGGGACCTTAAATGCCTTCTTTCTGTCTCTCTTCAGGACTTGGGTTGTGCTGGAAGTGCCCTGCTGGGTATTTCTGTCCTGCTGGAGCAAGTCACCCAGTGCCGTGCCAGCCAGGCACACACAACCCTCTGCAAGGCCAGGATGAAGCCACTGACTGCAGAGCCTGCCCAGCAGGGAGAGCTTGTACCCAGGCTGGCTTAGCCCAGCCTGATGCTGAGTGCTTACCGGGGTAAGCCTGGCTTGGTTCCTGTGCTGCTGCTGATGTCTGTGCATGTATTTCACCTCCCCTGGTTTTGCTTCGTGTGTCAAGAGGTGCAGGTGGTGCTGCTGTGTCAAGACATCACTGCAGTTCCCGTTGAGTCAGTGTTGATGTAGCCTGCTCTGGTGGAGAGCACTGTTGCCACTGAGTAGGTTATAAAATTAGCCAAGGATGAAGCCAGGCCTCACATCCCATGGCTGTGAACAGCACAACCTGGCTGCATAACCTACTTTTCTTTAGATGAAGGGTGTCTGACGCAACCAGTCCGTTCACTGTGTTTCACCTTCGGGATTGCTGCATCTCCCCAGCTGCAGCGCTCACCCTAATACTGTCACAGGGCACAGAGTTTGTCTCCTTCTTGCACCAAAGCTTAACCTGCTGTGTTTTGTCAGGTACGTGTGCCCAGCAGGGTCATCCAGCCCTCATTCTCCCAGCAACGCCTGTCCTCCAGGAACAGTCGGCAATGATTTCAACCTCTTTGAGAAGTCCCAATGCGAAACGTGCCCAGCTGGATTTGCCTGTGGGAGAGGTAAGGAGAGGCTTTATGGCCAAGTGAACTGTGTTCTTTGGTGTCACAGGGCCCACTGGGACATCCTGGAACAGGTCAATGAGCTATCACAATGACGGTAAATGGGAAAAAGATGCCCAAAGTGGTACTGCAGAGACTGCTGTGCCCTATGGACAAGGTAAATTTATTCTCAGGTTCTCTCTTTATGCCACCCAGAGTGACTGTTTTAACTTCATGGCCTCAAAGTGGCCAGCTTTTAGTGTCTTCAAAGCTTTTCGCTTATTGGTGGCTTTAATATCAGTGTCTGCTTTGGACAGGGACACCACACAGGATACTTAAACTGATGAAAAGCTGCTTTAGTAACCAGTTCTGACAGAATCTCTCATGAGAGGATGTAATTCTTGTTACCCTGTTTCAAATAGAGGAAAGGTGCAAAATGAGGGGAAGACTTCACTCAGGGTCACCCGGCAGAGCTGAAAACAGACCGAGAACTGGGCTTTGTAAAGCCAGCTTTAGGCTACACTGCTTGTCTTCAATGTGTGTTACAGGAACAGGGGGGAAGCAGAAGCCCCCCACTCCATGCCCAGCTGGTCACTACTGCCCACCAGGCACCAAGCACCCAACGCAGCACAAGTGTGCCCCGGGCACCTGGAGCAACAGGACAAGCCTGACCTCAGCGGAGGAGTGCTCCCCATGCCCTGCAGGCTGGTTTTGCTTCGGAGGAGCCCGTTCTCCTACTGGGATGTGCAGCTCAGGGCACTACTGCCCTCAGGGTAGGAGTGAAGGAGCTTTAGTGTGCTTCTGTCCTTAGAAATGTTGTTGGACTCTGATATCACACCCTGACTTTATCAGCGGATCTTCTGCACTGGGTGTTCAATGTGGAGTCGGTAACAAAACGTCCCTTCTGTCTAGTAAATAACACTGTTTGCACAGAGCACATTGGCATTGTTTTCTTTCCCTTCATTGGCAAAGGATTCAGATGCAAATATCTGCTGCAATTGTAAATGGGAAACTTCCTGCAGGGATTCGGCACACTTTGCTAAGTGGTGATTTTGTCACTGTTGTTCTCAGAGCTGCGAGCAGTGATTTTTGTATATAGAAATACATATTTACATGTAACTCATGTAAATACCAACAACGAAGAGCAGGGGGCTTATTGCCTCCTGTCTTTGAAGCTGTATTAAGAACTAAGGCTGGTCTTCTCCTCTTTCTGGCAAGGTACACAGAGGGGCACACAGTACCCCTGCCCTGCAGGAACCTATGCCACCAGGCTGGGAAATGGGAGAGTGGAAGACTGTGCTGCCTGCCCCCCAGGAGCTTTCTGCACCAGTGGGACCTCCAAGCCAGCTCTGTGCCCAGTGTAAGTGCATCCCATGTGCTGCAGTAGCTGTGCAGGTACAAAAGAAAACACTTCTACATGGCATTTCAGAACACTTGTGGGTTTAAGTAATAGCTTTCCGCACCAGCAATGTTCCTTTGACCTTGCGTGTTACTGGCTGGTCCAGGCTGGATTTTTCTGAATCAGGGAGTTTCTTGCCTCCAGAAATGGTAGATTTCCTCTATACAGATGACTGAGGATCCAGACCAGAGGTGTGCTGTCATAGAATCAGAGAACCAGGGAATGGTTTGTGTTGGAAAGGACCTTAAAGCTCAACCAGTTCCAACCCCTACCATGGGCAGGGACACCTTCCACTAGAGCAGCTTGCTCCAAGCCCCTGTGTCCACCCTGGCCTTGAACACTGCCAGGGATGGGGCAGCCACAGCTTCTCTGGGCACCCTGTGCCAGCGCCTCAGCACCCTCACAGGGAAGAGCTTCTGCCTTATCTCCAACCTGAACTTCCCCTGTTTCAGTTTTAACCCATCAACCCTTGTCCTACCATTCCAGTCCCTGATGCAGAGCCCCTCTCCAGCATCCTTGTAGCCCCCTTCAGATACTGGATCGTTTTGCTGCTGTTGTGACTCTCTCTTCTGTTGGATTTTCTGCTGCAGAGGAACCTATCGCATAGAACATGGTGCAGAAGTGGCTGCAGACTGCACCCCTTGTCCTGGAGGGTATTACTGCCCTGAGCTGGGCACTGTATCTCCTCAACCCTGTGGTGCTGGCAACTTCTCAGTAAGTAACAATAATTTTCTCCTGGCACCTGCTGAGCAGAAGGACTGAAATTTGGCAGAAAGGGAGCTTCAAGGCGAGCTTGAGGCTTTGAGTGCCTCAAAAGGAGGCACTGGAGTGAGTTCATCTCCTTGCGCGATGGCTCCAATTTGGGGAGGTCGTATCCAGTGCTCTGAAGAATACTGGCCACATGTGCTGACTCTGCAAGTAAGGAGGGAAAGTGCTAGCACAGAGAAGGAGTGTTTCTACACAGTCAGGTCTGGGTGTGCTCCAGACTTGGTGCTAAAAGTGCATACCACGTGTGCAGTGCTGCTTTTGCTGTTATTCCCACTCCAGAGGCTAGGACCAGCAACCTGAGTACATCTGTCCTGCAGCTGAGCAGGGACTTTGGGTTTTCATGGCATATTTGACCCTGGCAGAAAGGAGAGTTGGTTCCTGCTCCAAAGGATGCATTTGATTGCAGTGGAGTCAAGCCGTCAGTTAAACAGCAAGATGGAGCCACAGCAGAGAGTAGCAATGGCCCAATTGTTCTCACAGGCAGGTGCTGAGGCCTGTTTCTGAGTTGTCTACCCCCAAAACGGCATCAATAATCGTGCTAATTGCCATGTTTCCCCATTGATGGGAAATGGGCTCTTCACTTCTGTCAGGAGACCCCAGTATCTTCCTCCAGGCCAGTTTTCCATCACTGCACAGTTTTGGTAGTTACCACTGGAACCCTTACTAAGGTCAGAGAGGAGGGAAATGGTGAATGGAGATGTATGTACAGCAAAGAGATTCCTTCTTGTTTGTGCCTTGGAGTTCCGTGTAACAAAGAAAGAGGAGGGGACGTGCCTGTGTTCTCTGCTCCTGCTGGCAAAGGGTGTTGGACTGTTCTGAGGATCAGAACCTTTTCCATGGATAATCCACAGAACCTGCTTCTTATTTGTGAAGCCCAGGTTTCCTTGCCTGCAGGGTGAATACACTGAATTGCAAGCTGCCTGCTGCTCACAGGTTAGCTTAGGTGGGAATTCTTTTTGTCTCTGGGAGCATTACCAATTGTGCAAGGATTCTTTTGCCCTTGAGAAGTAGAACCCCGTGCTTTCCCTGTTGTAGGACCAAGGTTCAGCCTCCTGCTTGCCATGCCTGGTGGGACATTACTGTGCTGGAGAGCACACCAGCTGGGAGGTGATGCTCCTAGCCATGTGCCCAGCGGGTCTCCTGTGCCCACAAGGACAGGCTGCTGTTCCAGACACCAGTGCAAATGCCTGCCCAAGAGGATACTACTGTCCCCAGGGAGACACTGTGAGTGAGTCTGCTTTGGTCCTTGGGATTGGGATTGAGTTGGCTGTGCAGTTACAGTCTGCACTGGGCTTTGTCTTGCTATAGGAGCCTTTCCCAGTAGTCTCTGAACTGGTTTCTGTACTCTTTTGGGGTTCACAGATCCTAGCAATATTTGCCCTCCATACAACTGTTGCTAATACTGGGGTAATGTTTTCTGTGCACAGTCCAGAGCATTGGATCCCCATTCCATTGTACCATCTTTTCAGCATTCACCCCAGATTCCTGGTGCCTCTTGTCAGTGTTTGTTCCCAGTCATATTAGTATGGTAAAGGTCCATTTTTCTATATCATTTCAAGGGTAAGCCTTGTCCCAATGGGACCTATGGTGAGCAGATGGGTCTAAGCAGTGTTGCCGAATGCTTGCCCTGTCCCATGGGGAAGTACTGCTACAGAGATGGGATTGAGCCTCCAGGAATTCCCAATCCTGTAAGTAGAGCTCAGGTCCTCCTGATTTTTTATTTCTCCAAAGGCTACAACTGTAAATGGAGTGAGCTTAATGCATGTTTTTTGTCTTTACTTAACCTTCTGCCTGTCAAAGCAGGCTATGAAAGAGGGGACAGAGATCAGGAGCTGGTGCTGCTCTGTATCTAATGAGTTTGGGGATCTTTCAGGGTGATTGTTCTGTCTCTAGAAAGAGTGAACTCTTCCAATATTAATAGCTGTTAAAAAAAGAATCCTCTTCTCTTCCACATGGGTGAATCTGTGCTTTCATTTAGGAGCAAGAGGATAACTCTTATCCCAGTTCCAGCCCTTTTTCCAAGTGTGGAAGAAGAGCATCTTCCCCACAGCTGTATAGAGAACATGTAGGGCCTATCTCAATGACAAGACTTTACCTTCCAAACCCCTCACCTAGAATAATGATCCTACATGGTCAGAGTTCTACTGATAAGACTGTGAATTCCCTCCCTCCCCTTCTTTTCTGCCCCGTTTTCCTGCATTAAAAGATGCCAGGTTATTCAAATTATAGATTAAGCTTGGTTCTTTTGGAGTTGAATCTTAAGAGGTTCCTCTTCCCTACTCAGAAGAAGACAACAAAACCATGCCTGAGTGTGTATTCTGCTTTCCAGACAGGGGATTGCCCACCTGGCTATCACTGCCCTCCGGGGACTGGGTTCCCTTTCTCCTTCCCCTGTATGCCAGGCTTCTTCTGGGATAATTCCAGCACAGAGGGTGAAGACCCTTGCACACCATGTCCACCTGGGTACTACTGTGACTCTCCTGCCATGCCAGAGCCCAAAGCTTGCCCAGCAGTGAGTTGTTCTTTCTTAGTTACCTCGTGGAAGAAACTGGTATGTGGGGGTCTAATAGAAGAGCTTGAAGTGCTGTATTAAGCTGACTTTGGTTTGCAGGGCTTTTACTGTGTGGAAGGCAGCTCTAAACCTGAAGCCTGCCCTGAGGGGACATACAGTGGCAAGAAGGGGCTATCTGGACCCTCGAAGTGCAGTCCGTGTACCCGTGGGTTCTACTGTGCTGCTCCAGGGCAGACTGGGCCAAGTGGTCCCTGTGAGGCTGGATTCTACTGCCAGGGCAGAGCCCTCACTCCAGTAAGTCTCGTGGCAAGTTCTTCTCCTCCTTATCTAATTGTGCTCCAATGTGGTGGCTCTTTCGTCACTGTGGTGCTTTTTATTAGCTTGGTGACTTCAAGAGTCACAATTCTGCGCTGCTCACATAGAGTCATAGAATCAACTAGGTTGGAAAAGACCTTCAAGATCAAGTCCCCAGGTTGATGGCATGAGGACCACTTGCTGCCCTCAAAGGGAGTGCAGCCAGCCACGTCATATCTGTCCCTCTCAACACCAACATCCCCTTAACTAAAACCAGAAGTTGAGTGGATGTGAATTCCAGTGGGATGCTGCTGTGAAAACATCCGTTTATTCATGTTGTGTTTACTGCATTTCCCCTAAGTTAGGTATTGTCTGTGCTCTGCACAACAGAAGATGTCTCTGTTTTCCTGTCTTGCCTTGGGCCCAAAGCAGGATGATGCTGTAAACACCTGAACCCTGGTTACTCCTTCTTTTGAATGATGCCTTTTCCAATTCCAGCTGCCCACAGATGGTGTGACAGGAGACGTGTGTCCTGCTGGGGCTTACTGCCCACCTGGCTGTGCCTCACCCATCCCCTGTCCTGCAGGCACTTACAGCAACCTCAGTGGGTTGAGGAGCCTCCAGGAGTGCTTGGACTGCCCCCCTGGGTGAGTGTCCTCTTCAGAGAACATGGTTCAGCCCTGTCCCATTGCAAAGGGATTGTTCAGCCTTCAGCTTAGTTGCCCCAACAGCCCACCCTTACCTTGCAGAGCAAGGCTCCTATCAGTGGTGCGGCATGGTTTCACCCAGCAGCTCCTGCCTAAACATCCTCCCTGATACTGATGTTACGTTAGCAGACAGTGTAATTCACCACCCTGTTGCATTCCTTTTAACGGCACCAAAATGACATCACTGATTTGGAAGGCAAAGGAATGGATTGTGGTGGCTTTCACTTCCCCGTGAGCGTGCTTTGAGTACGTGCAGCACAAGGCCAGTGAGGGACGGTGACTTTCAGGTGCTGTAGGACTCCATGAGGTGCAGTCCAGAGCTCTGGGAGAATCCAAATTCAAAGAGCTTATCCCTCTATTTTTTTACTTCACTCTGTTTTCCCAGGTGAGGTAGGCAGGAAAACCGAGCAGGAGACTGCTCTGGAATTCCTGTTCTGTGCAGAAGCTGGAGGGAATGCCGTCAGAGTGGCTTTCTTAAGTATTTTTAGCCCAGAGCTGCAGAGCAGGTTTGAAGAAAACCAACACTTGGGTGTTTGTAAGGCCTTTAGTCAGAAGTAGATGCAGATGCTGCTCCCTGCTTGTAGAGGGGAGGATTCTTCCCAGGGTACAGCTACTGAATCTGAGAGGTTATGGTCCTTAAAACACATGTGTGAGAAGTGACACGTATCCTCTGTAACTCCCTTTCAAGAAACAGGTCTCCAAGATTCCAGATAGACAGCAGGGATATTTTTGTACTGAGATTGTATTATGCAGTGACAAAAGGAACTATTGTACCCACGGTGTCTGTTTTTCCCCACATAGCCTGTATTGTGATGGGACAAACAACCAAGCTCCCTCAGGACCCTGTGAAGCTGGCTACTTTTGCACAGGAGGTGCCAAAAGTGCTCTTCAGCAAGTGGTGATGGAAGGGCATTATTCCTTACCAGGAGCTTTCAAGCCAGAACCATGTCCTCTTGGCAGCTTCCAGCCTGTAAGTCTGTTAGTATACCCTGTGTAATGTACTTGGGGGGGGGGGGCATCAGAGCCCTTGGAAACTGTCCAGTGTTGGAACAGAAACGCAGGAAGTGGTTGTAAGTGGTCACCTTAAGAAAAGCGGACCTGGGTTTTCTCCTGCATTGGGTAATCACCACCTCCTTTGCTTTTACCCTACAACAGAAGAGCTCTGTGCTTGCCACTGCTTTAGTGGTGGAAGGTGCTCTTCAGATCCCACAGGTCTGTTGCATTGGGACTGACTGCAGTTCATTTGCTTCAGGGTGCTCATTCCGTAGTAGGGAGCTGGGAGAGTGTGCAAAGTTCACTGATTCATGGGGCAAGCAGCAATACCCCACATCTGCCAAGTGCTTTCTGTGTTCCCCCTTTAGGCTCGTGCTCAGGCTCTTTGTCGGGACTGTCCAGAGGGTACATTCTGCAGTGAGGCAGGCCTGGCTGCACCCCAGGATTGTCCCAAAGGGCATTTTTGCTTGGCTGGCAGTTCCTTCCCTCTCCCATGCCCAGTGGTAAGAGTCGAATGTGAACTTGGGTCTCAAGCAGTGATTTTCTGCAGGCTCCCAGCCCCTTGGCAGAGGACATTCACTAGTTCTCTCCGTGCAGGGAACCTACACTGATGTAGCCAGGGCAGGTTCTTGCAAGCCCTGCCCAGCAGGCATGTACTGCAGCAGGGCTGCTCTGACTGAGCCAGAAGGACATTGTCAGCCAGGGTATTACTGCCTTCAAGGTTCCAGCACCTCCACACCCGTGAGTACTGAATATCTCACATTGCATCACGCCTTTTGGCACTACAAAACCTTTTGTAAACCACATTAAGGTAATTTTCCTCGCTTCAGATGGGGCTGCCAGTTGGAGATCTCTGCCCACAAGGACATTATTGCCCTGCTGGCACAACCCACCCAAAAGAGATGCCATGTCCTGCTGGCACCTGGAATGCACAGAGAGGAGCCCAGGATGCCACTTGGTGCCTGCCTTGTGCTCCTGGGTTTTTCTGCAACATGTCTGGGCAGGCTGCTCCTGAGGGACTTTGTGCACGAGGTGAGACAAAGCCAGACAAAGCTCCTTCAGCTTCTTAAAAACTCCCTTGGCTCTGGATCAGAGACAGGACTCAAATGTCTTCTGCTTTAAGGCTATTACTGCGCAGGAAGGACAAAGACCGCAAAGCCAGAGGATGGGATCACTGGAGATCTCTGTCCTCGAGGACATTTCTGCCCTGCAGGCTCAGCAGCCCCTTCTCCCTGCCCCAGTGGAGAATACAGCAATGCAACAGGTCAGGAACTGGAGCTTTGCAACTTGTCTGTGACCTGGGGGATGTAGAAAACACCAATTGTGTTACTTGTCTGCGTCCAAGAGTGTCCTGAGAGCTCCTGGCCATTATCAGCATTCAATGGGGGGGAGTAAAGAAAGGGGTCGGGGGGGTGTTGTTTTTTCCCTCGTGTCACACGGGGAATGTATTTCACCCTGGCAGACAGCTCATGGGTGAGGATTGGAGCAGTAGGTGCACAGATAGCTGGTAAGCGGTTCACGGCCTTTCCTTGCTGTTCTGCCTGCGGTGAGGTGTGGAGGTTACTGGCACTCTGGGGCTGGTGGAGTTAAGAAGCTGAATCAAACTCTCCTGGTTTGTGTTGGAAGGGCAGTTATAGCAGGAGGGCTTACGGAATAACTTCGTTTCCATTCCTGCTTCCTAAGGCAGAGCGAAGCTGTGTACGTGGTGTTTTCCTTCCACTTCATTACATGGTTCATTTTAATTCCTCTCCTTCCTTCACAGGTCAAGACAGATGCTTCCCTTGCCCTGCTGGGTTCCACTGCTCAAGTGGACTGCGCCGTCGCTGTCCTCCTGGCTTCTATTGCCCTCAGAACACTGGAATCAGCTTTTATCCCTGTCCCCCTGGGACCTACAACCCCTCCTATGGCCTCAGCCAGGCTGAGAGGTGTCAGCACTGCCCTGCAGGTGAGGGGATGGCTCTGTCAGTGTAGAGCAGTGTCTAAGAGGGTGATATCTCTGAATATCCCTTTTCCTAAGCCACTGATGCATGTTTCAGCTCTAGGGAATACAGACATCAAAGTACACAGTCCAGGAGGTTCCTTATCCCACTGACAGTGTCCCCAGTGAGCCACAGGTTTCCCTGAGGCCCTGCAGAAGGTTGGGTTACACTCAGGGTTTCCCAGAGGAGCATGAGCTGGGCTGGGATGTGGTTCTGTCCCTGTTGTGCTGCTGCTGAGGGACTGGCTCTCCCAATCTTCCCTTTTGCCTCCCGATGCGTGTGTGCAGCACAGCAGCTCTCCTGGCTGTTCTCCCTGTTTACCCATACTTGATGCTATTTTCCCTCTGTGGTCTTCTAGGGATGTTCTGTGGAGAATGGGGATTATCCTCTCCAAGTGGTCCCTGTTGGCCAGGATTCTTCTGCACAGCAGGTACTGAATTTAGAGCTCACAGGGCAAAAAAGAGAAGCGAAAAGGAATTCCCTGTAGGAATCAGGTTTTGTACATTCTCTGTACAATCTTTCCCATGTTTTTATTACAGACAGTGCCAGGGTGGTCCTGAGGAATAAAGCAATGTGATAAGGTTATCATCAGTCCCATCATAAGTTTCTCTATTTAGATACCTGCTTTCTGAGCCTACTAGAAGGACTTGGGGAGGAAAACTACAAGAAGCAGACTCAAGAAAGTCATTACCATAGGGATTTGACTGTTGTGAGCAAGTTTCCTGGCAGCTTGCAGTTGGTGTTTGCATAGGATAAGGGCTCGGATTTGTAGGGACAAAGGACTACAGACAGGAAGATGGTGGCAACGTCATTCAGTCCCCCTGCACTATATTCAGCAGCACTGAATGTTCTCTGTGCTGCATGCTGCAACCACGCTGCTGAGGATTAGTGCTTGATACCTCTCATGGAACCACGGGTCCTGAGTTTGGGTGATTTCATAGGGATCCTGACATTTACTTTACTTCTAAGTTCTTATGTGCTTGGAATTATTAAGAGAAGTCCGAGATGAGAGCTGAAAACCACACAAATACAAATTTCCTAGAGGCCTTGCTCTCTGGTTGTGGCTGGTTTGGGCAGCTCACCCCTTCTTTGGGATCTCTTTCAGGTCAAGCGCAGAAGGCAGTCAGCTCTGCTGTGATCAGCATTCAGATCCATGCTTTGCAATGTGGATGGCAGGCTCCATAGATGCTCTCACTATTCCCGTATAACTTAAATAGCTTCTGTACATACTGGCCCTTCAACAAACAGATGACTCTCAGTTTAGCATGGAAAGTGGGCATTTGGGGTCACTTTTAGTCCTGGTTGCAGCAGTGGGAACTCAGATGAGTTTATTCTCTTCTGAGTATGTTTTCCTGGCTATACACTGGAGAGTGATGATACATGCTAGGGAGGTATTTTGTGAGCTATAGTTAAATCTGTATAGGGGTTTAAGTGCAATTGTATCATGTGTGGTCACTGTCTCCTTCTCCCTGACATCTCAGCTTTTAGAGGAGTAGGTCTGTGGTGGACTAAGCCATCCAAATGGTTCTGTTCCCCCTGGTACTTGCTGTTAGTTATTCCATTCCGCTATAGATTGGCCTAAGTAACAATCACCAGCTGCTCTCTTCTGTCAGCTGTGGAAATGTTTCTTTAGGCAGGAACAGTCACCCGTGTCATTCAGGACACCTTTGGTTTACCTTCCTCATGTAGGAGCAAGCGTCCCAAACCCTAATGGAGCCACAAACACGAGCACTGGTGGTCCATGCCCCCCTGGCCACTTCTGCCCAGCTGGCACAAGCATCCCCCAGCAATGCCCTGTGGGCACTTACTCTGACAGGTAAGTAGTCTTCTTGGTTCTGCTGGTGCTCATTGGTGTTATCCTTTTCCTTTTGGTTTCTCCCTTAGTCCTTTAAGTAGCAAAGTACAACTCAGCAAGGCTCATTAGACACATGGCATTGATCACAAAAGCCTCCTGGGTGCTTTCACTTGTCCAGAGCTGTAGGTATCAGTGGTCTACTGCTGAACTTGTGCTCCTGCCAACAGAAAGCCTGCTTGTGTCCCTCACCAGGCTCTACAACAGGCAGGACTCCAGCTGCACAGTGTGTCCATCTGGCTATTACTGCAGCTCTGCTGGCCTCACAGCACCCTCAGGACCCTGCTCAGCTGGCTACTACTGCTCGAGTGGAGCTTCCTCACCATCACCACATGGTGAGCTGCCCTGGGTGAAAGAACGTCGGTGTCTTCATTTGTCTGTGTGCAATGCTGAGGGGGTTTGGCCCCAGGCAGTTCCTGTTGTGCCTGTAATGGACGTAGCCTGGTTGCTCCTGGTCATTTTATTGTGTCTCAGAAATAAGAATTTCCAGGGAAGAGTTACAGATCTTTCATAGCGAATTCCATGTCCTCCAGAATTCTTGGTGGATGCGAAGCAGAGCATTTAGAAAGTTGATCTGTTCAGTATGATTTGTTGTGGCTTTGCCTGTGAAGCAAGGAGAGAAGAGGCACGGTAACACAGCATCAGAGAGTTCCAAAGTGGTCATTCTAGTTACTGTGTTGATCTGTCTTCTGGGATCCCAGAGAAGACAACATCTTTCTTGCTGGACCTTTGTTAGCATTGTCCCTCCCTCAGCAGCTCCCTTTGTGGGCCATGTTTTTGTGCTTTCTGTGCTCTAGGTATGTGGGAGAAAGGAGGTCCTTGTCCTGTGAGCCACTTCTGCCCAGAAGGAAGCAGCTTTCCCTTGCCCTGCCTTGCAGGGACTTACAACAACCTCACCAGACAAGCTGCATGCTTCCCTTGTGCTGCAGGCTACTACTGCCCAGAAAACTCCACCAGCTACAGTATGAACCCTTGCCCAGCTGGCTTTTACTGCCCCAAAGGTGAGATGGGTCCTGGGGGACAAGGCAATCCATGGGCCAAGAAATTGTCTCTGTGGACCAAAGGTTTAAGTGTCAGTCTGGTTCTTCACAGGAAGAAACCCCAACCATGGAAACCACAGCTATGGCTGTTGTTTGAGCCTTAAAGGCAAACCAAACAGCACTGTCTGCCTGGCCGTGAAGGGCAAGCTGTGCACTGTGAAGGTCAGCAGTGACATAAATGGGCAAAGATGACCCCGAACCATAGGATGCTACATGAAGTGATACAGCAGGATTGGTAGCCAAGGTAGTATTTATAGTCCATGAAAGCTATTTGCTCTTTTTATTCCAAAGGAACCAGGTTTGCTACTGAGTTCCCCTGTCCGCGGGGCTACTATAACCCTGATCCCATGACACAGAGCTTGGATAGCTGCTTGCCCTGTCCTCCTGGGCACTACTGTGGGAAGGAGAACTTGACAGCTGCCTCAGGCATGTGTGATGCAGGTGAGACTGGATCTCTGTGGCTTTTGCATTGCCCAGCACTTGGGGACAGCATAGTTTTGGGAGGCTGATGCTTGTGTCCTGCAGCAAAACCATCCAGGATGGGTTATTCATGAGAATTCCTGGGGCTCTGTCATTGCTAGAGCTTCTCAGTGGCGTTTTTTGTTCTCAGGTTGGTTTTGCATCTCAGCTGCTTGGACCTCACGGCCTTTTGATCTGGATAACTACACCAATACCAACTGCCTCTGCCCAGCCACTGCCACTGGAGGGAAGTGCACAGCTGGTTTCTATTGCCCCGAAGGAAGCCCAGAGCCACTTCCTTGTCCTCCAGGGTTTTACTGCAATGCCTCAGGTCTGTGTGTTTGCAAAGCAGGAGTGATCTGGTTTGAGGGGTGTTAAAATGAAGGCATTGTGTGGGCAGGGAAATGTTTGTTATTTCAGAACTCACTAGAGGACCCTAAAGCTAGTTTTGTTTCTGGATGATAAACCTGGTTTTCCCAGAATTTGCTGTGTGTCTTCAAGTGAGTCACTGCCTCCATGGCCATCTTCGAGGACCGATGGGAACACAGGTGGCTATAGGTTCATAGACATGGAGTATCAGGGTCTCCTGACAGAATTCCCTGTATTCTGTGTGCCTGCAGATGCTGGGATACAGACAAAATGCTGCTTCATTTTCTCCTGCTCCTTTTCCTTCCTTTCAGTATTCCTTCCATGTGTTAAACAGGAGCTGATTTTATCCTGATGTTTCTGTAGAGCTGTGATGGTGCTTGTGAGATGCCTTTGGTGTCTTCCAGAGGGATGCTTCGAGTGGGTGTTTTTCCTGCTTTCCTTCCTTTATCTAAGTGCTCTGAGTGCCATTATCCCCTCTGTCTTCCAGGTCTGTCTGTGCCCAGTGGGGAATGTACTGCTGGTTTTTACTGTAAAGCTGGAGCAACAATCCCTAACCCAACAGATGGTGTGACTGGGAATATCTGCCCTGGGGGCACTTACTGCAGTAGGTATCCGGCAGGAGTAAAAATTTCATGTCACGTAATGTCTGAAATACAGAAAATTTCATGTCATGCAATATCTGAAATCACTGGGGCTGATTTTGGAAGTGTGGTGGCCAACTTGCTACTGCCTAAAGACTCTGATTCTTCCCCTAGTTTCCCCCCTGGCCTGTTCTTTGAAAGTGGGGAGTGATAGATTTGTCTCAGCACCCAAACTCCTCCATCTTTGGATTGTGAACAGCTGCACCTCATTTTCCCTTGTTAAATGAAGCTCCTAATGTCAGTCCTCTCCCACGCAGCACTGTTTGAGCTCTGCATGGCTTCCCTGACCCTGTTTCCATGCTGCTGCACGTTCATCCAAGCCCTGAACGCAGCAACGACCTCCTTCATCTTTCACTGCTCATTTCTCTCTGTCTTGCTTCTGTCCTCGCAGCTGCAGCATCAGCAGTACCCAAGCTCTGCCCTGCTGGCACCTTTTCCAGCCTCCAGGGGAGGAGAATGCTTTCGGAGTGCCAGCCTTGCCCCTCTGGCTTCTATTGTGAGGAGCCTGGCCTCACTGCTCCGACCGGAGAGTGCTGGGAAGGTAAGTCATGGATAAACAGACCGAGCCTCTGGGCACATGCTCAAAGGAAGGTGTGTTTGTGTGTATTGGACAGCTTCAAATGAATGTGTGAGCCAGTGGTTTAGAGAGGAAAAGCCAAAGGTGGAAAAGCCATTCCCCTGCCGGGAGATCTGCCAGGAGTCGAGAAGGTGCTGTAGGCTGTGCAGGCACCCAGAAAACAGGAGTCCTGTTTTCACAGTCTCCAATTGGAATTCCATGCATCGTACAAGAGATGGCTGCTTACTGCTGACTCCTGAGCCTTCCTATGGGTGCAAGTTTAGAGTCTCGCTGCCTGTCTTGGTGGTTTCCCTCTCCTGACTTGGAGAAGAGCAAGTTCTGGCTTTGTGTGAAAAGGCCACTAGAGGTTAAAGCAATTCAGACATGTGTGCCTGGGAGAACCTGCTCTCTCCTGATGAGCAGCACCTCAATAGCTACTATCTCCTAGTAACTATCTCCTAATGTAGCTTTCTTTTCCCCTGCAGGCTATTACTGTAACAACCAGCAGGGGCCAGTTACTGATTTTACCCTTTACCCATGCCCACGAGGGTTTTACTGCCCAGCAGGAACAAACAGCAGCACTCAGTACAGCTGCCCTGCAGGAACCTTTGGACCAAGGCAAAAACTGAAAGCAATCACAGAATGCCAAAGGTGCCCACCAGGAAAATACTGTGAATTCTCTGGGCTTGCTGCCCCAACAGGTATATTGCTGCTCTCCTGAGTGTATTCAGTGGTGTTAGAGTCATGGCAGGGGCTGATGGACTGGTGTTAGGACATTAGGATGCTGATCTAGGTGAACTATCCCATTCGCTTATCAAGAACTTCTTGATATCTTTTAATAGATTCATGCATTTCGTATCAGTTACTCTGTTTTCTAGGAGATTGTGCTGAGGGGTTTTGGTGCAAAAGTGGTGCCCGAGTAAGAACCCCCCAAGATGGAGAATCAGGACTTCCTTGTCCTCCTGGTCATTATTGCCCTGAAGGTAAGAGCGCTTTGCTAAAGCAGAGCTGTTGATCAGTCGCAGAAGGCATGAGGTGGTGTTTCCTCACTCCAGCACAATGTATTTTGCCAGGTGCCCCGCTTCCAGTGCAGTGCCCTCCTGGCACATGGGCTGGTGGTGAAGGCAGCAGGAGCTTGCAGGAGTGCCAGCCTTGCCCTGGGGGATATTACTGCAATAGCTCAGGGCAGAGAGCCCCCTCAGGACCCTGCAGCCCAGGGTGAGTAGAAGAGCACACACATTTACATGCTGTGTTGCAAGAGAGGAGGTCTACAGGGGCTCTTCTTAGCCTTGTGGAAATGAAGGATGTTTTCTTGGCTGCAGGTACTACTGCATCTCTGGGGCCCAGTCCTCAGCTCCCACTGATGGCCTCTCAGGAGCTCCGTGTCCAGGCAGTCACTTCTGTCCTCTCGGATCCAGCAGTCCAGCTCCATGCCCCCCTGGCTCCTACATGCCACACACCCATGGAGAGGAGTGCCGTGCTTGCCCGGAGGGGGAACACTGTGTCTCTGGAGAGAAGCCACAGCCCTGTCCCCAGGGTGAGTTAATGTCCTGCTTAAATGTCTGAGTCGTCTTTGACGTTCCAAAGGCTGCTGATTCTGGTCTGTTCTTTCTTTTCCAGGGTATTTCTGTCCCAAGGGCACAGCTCTTCCTTTTGCTTGTCCAGCAGGGTCCTATAACCCTTCACCAAGGCAAGGCAGCTGCCTCCCCTGTCCCAAAGGGTAAGGGTGAGACACTGAGTCCCCTACATGTGTGAGTCCCATACTCACACATTTTAGGTGTGAGTAAGGGACTATTAGGCATAATTGTTTATCCAGTCATCGTGGAGAGGAGTGTGGTGGGAAAATGAGTTCTTTTACCACTGAAAAGCACTTGTCTCTGTGAGGAAGCAGAGCTCTGTTTAACCACGCTACAGCTGAGTGTGGGAGCAGGCAAAGTCCTAAATCCAGGTACAACTACACTGGAATTTAGATCAGAAAGTTATTTGGAGCAAGGAAACCACTAGCACCATAAACCTTTCCCATGTCTAAAGGAAGAGACTGTTCCCTTGGCAACAAGCCTGCTGAAGGGGAAGAGGATCTTGGGTATCACCTGATGCTGAGTCCGGCTTTTTCCTGTGGGGATTCATCTCCAATTACTGCCTGGATTTGACCTTGATTAACTTTTACAAGTTGATGAATCGCAGCCTGGATGTGTTGTGACTCAAGTTAAGGAAATTATGTCTCTGTGGCTTTTGCAATTATGCCATCAATTTGGCAGAGGAGGAAACAACTCAAAATGTAGTAAAATATGCATAAGTAGGTCTCTTGTGGTCAATACACCACATTAGACTGGCTGGTCCCACCACTAAGTTGTTATTCAGGTATTTGGGGATGGAATGTTGCTAGAAAATGTCTTATTTCTTCTCTTTTTTTTTTTAATGTCTCTTTGCACTAGGTTCTTCTGCCCCTCAAATTCCTCTTCCTTTATGGAGAATGAATGTCCAGCTGGCCACTACTGCCCTCCAAGTACTGCTTCTGCCACTCAGTTCCCATGTCCAAAAGGGACTTACAACCCCCAGACTGGAAGCAGCCTGAAGGCTCACTGCACCCCCTGTGACCCAGGCAAGCGGCAAATAAGGACATCTCAATATGACAGGAGAATGCATGAAAATTGGGAGTGTTCTTGAGCTTCAGGGGTGACTTGTGTAGCTTCCTCTCTGGAGTACCTGGGGTGTTTTCCTGCCCCTACTAACGGCATTGCATTGCTTTCTCAGGGCACTACTGTGCACTTGTGGGGCAGTCCCATGTTACAGGACCTTGTCTGGCTGGGTTCTACTGCAGAGGAGGTGTTTCTGTTCCAGCACCTACAGATGGTCTTCTGGGGAACACGTGCCCAAAGGGGACTTACTGTCCTATGGGCTCTGCCTTTCCACAGCCATGTCCTCCTGGTTATTACAGCAACTCAACTGGGAATACTAGGATCAAGGACTGTCTCCTGTGTGATGCAGGTACAATATCAAAAGAAAGCATGAATGAGATTCTAGCCAAGCACCAGTATTTCCAGGGCTCCTGAGACACTTTGTGGTTCCAGAGCAAGCAATCATGAACAACTGCTTTCATGGAGAGATACAGGGTAGAGCATAAAGGGACTGCATCTGCACTGTGAGCTTCCCTTTCTCCACCTTTTCTCTATGTGGTTTTGTACTAGGAGATCCTAAAGTCACAGAATCACAGAATGGTTTGGGTTGGAAAGGACCTGAAGATCATCCAGTTCCAGCCCCTTGTAGATGATACAAGGAGTGCTGTTTGTTCAGGCATGTAAGCTCTGTACTTGCAGCTATTCCCAGTGACAGCATCTCCAGGAGAATAGATGTTGGTGCTATCAAACATGATGCTTCAGTGATTATTTCCTCATTGCACACTTGCTGTTTGTCTGTCTCATGCGACCAGTATCATTATGGTCCTTTTGTGGTTCCTCTTCATTTCAGGGTATTTCTGTGATGGGACTGGACTTGTTTCTCCAACTGGATTATGTGAGGCTGGGTTTTACTGCAGTGGAGGAGCCATTTCTGCTAAACCTCCCAGGGTAAGCTGTGCTTGTACTGTGAATAGTGTAAAATGTATCTGTGGAACTGAAGACCATAAAGTCACCTTAGTTCTTCTGCCCCTGATTGAACTGTCCCTTAACTACATTATGTTGTGTATTGGGTGCATCGGTGCATCTGGTTTCTTGATAGCAAAAGGGGCAGTTGGCCTTCTTTCAGCTTTTACATCTAAAAGCTGACCAAAAAGAACTCTCTATTTGCATACTGATTCTGCAAAGCAGAGTGAAATGCTGTATCAGATTAGAATTCCAGAGGTTAGGAGTGCAGGAGTTTGATGAGAACATTGCATCTGTCAGCCCCCCTCCTAGGCAAAATACAGTGAGAATCTTTAAAGGTGGTAACTCAGCAAACACTAGGTTATGCCTCAGCTTTCTGCAGACTATGAATGGTGAAAGGGTGATGCCACCTTCCAAATGGCCATCCCAGCAAGTTATGGGCACAATTCTGATCCCTTCTTTTGGGAAAGGAACAGGCGTGCAGCCTGAGGGATGAGCACAGGATTTCACACAACACATCTGGTTCTCATCGGCATAAGAGCTTGACCCAAATCACTTTGCAAGGGCCACCCCTGAGTTGGTAGCCTTGTAACTGGGGTGTTCTTCTTGCAAGACAACGGTCAGAGGAGGACCCTGTCCACCGGGACATTACTGTGAGGTGGGGAGCAGCAGAGCCCAGCCGTGCCCTGCGGGGAGTTACAGCCCATCCTGGAGCATGGCACAGTGTTTGGAGTGCCCAGAAGGCTTTTACTGCACGGCTGGTTCCGCAAACTACACCGACTGTCCTGCAGGTGGGTCTGGTCGTTCTGCCCACTCATCCCGGCACAGTTTGGGATTGGGTAATCTGAGATTAGCAGATGCCCCGGCAGCTGTTTGGAGTGGATTTGCCCTTGGACTTGGTTGCATGATGCAGCAGATGGACAGGTCAATGTCTTTGGTCAAAGCACTTAAGCTCTTTTGAGATTCGGCTCCTGTCTGAATGAGGAAAATGGTAAATAGAGCATCAGCTTTGACCTTTATCGTACACTTTGAGACCTTCTCACTAAAGCTGAGAAGCTTGGGATCAGTCCTTCTCAGATGAAGAGAATGCTGTGTCTAGGTTGGTGATTCTCCAGCACGTGTTAACCTTTGTGAAACCTCTCTCTTCTTTCCTAGGTCACTATTGCCCCAGGAATACAGAATTTGCCACTCAGTATCCCTGTCCCCCTGGAACCTACAGCGAAGCTTTAAATATCTGGGATACTTCCAAGTGCCAGCTGTGTCCTCCCGGAAGGGTCTGTTCCAAGCCAGGCCTGACAAGACCAGATGGACTGTGCATGCCTGGATGGTTTTGTCCACCTGGATCCACATCAAGCAAACCAGTGTTTCTTGGCAATCACTCTGGTACAAAGGGGAATGGTAGAGCATGATGGCTGTTGTTATTGAGAAGGTGGCATTACAGAGTCACCTGTAGGGTCCAGGCAGTTCAGGGTGGGTTACTTTCCTGTTTCTTTTCCTTCCTTCAGCACTCTGGTTCTGTTTTCCTGAGCTGTTTAGGTACTCTCAATTCTTCTGTTTCAACTCAGTCTATGTCTTTTCCATTAGCAGGTATGGCAGCTCCAGCTTCTGGATCTATTGGCTTGTGCCAAGCAGGAACCTTTTGTCCTGCTGGGTCCTTTCTTCCTCTTCCCTGCACCCCAGGTAGGAGAAGACTGCTTGCTTCCTGCAGAAATGGGGTTTTGCCCATGTGTGCTGCTCTCCCTTTTGCCAAGAGCAGTAGGCAATTCCAGTCTTGTGCTGGGACTGGTTCTGAGCACTCTTAGATGGCAGCCTTGCTTCTACCCCTGCATCAGGTTCATACTGTGCAACAGCAGAGCTCTCAGCTCCATCAGGTCCCTGTGAGGCTGGCTTCTACTGCACAGGGGGCTCAATGCTCCCAAACCCCATGGATGGAGCAGGAGGGAACATTTGTCCTCGAGGCCACTTCTGTCCTGCAGGGAGTTCTTCTCCATCTCCATGTCCTCCAGGTAGGTTTGATGGCAGCTGCTGCATTCAACCATTTCTCTTCCCAGTGCACTGCTGAGCCTGAGGCTGTACCATTGTCCTGCTGCCCCTTTATTTCCCCAAGAGACAGCTGCTATCAGCACAAAGCTCATCCTCTAATCCAGTGCTGTTGTATTGGGAACAGCAGTCCTAGATGTGTCCTCAGAGAGTAGCTGCAAAACTGCCTCAGAAGCCTCAGCTTGTGGCCTACATGATGCTGAAGGAGAGGTCACACAGCCCAGCACACCACTGCCACCCTCCCTGCACATCAAGAGCTGTCCTTTACCGTCACTCTTCATGAGACAGATGGTTAAGTTGAAGGAGAAAGACTGTGGAATGTTTGTTTCTTTCCTGTTACATTAAACAAGTGGTTGCACTGCTCAGTCCAGACCAGAAATAAAGAGGAATTCAGCGCAGCCAGCACTCAGGACCAACCTGTCATCTACTCTCCAAGGGGACTCTACTCCCTTTGGATTCCTTTCTTGCCAGCATCCTCTTGGCATCTTCTGCAGGAGGTTTCTGGGGCTGGTGTAGTTAGTTACTGTGTGAGCAGCTCCCGCTCTTTTCCTTTAGTCTAGGATGACAAGAGTATGTGCTTTTGATGGCTTTTTCTTTCCAGGCTCCTTTTTGGCTCATGATGGGGGCCAGTCAGCACAGGATTGCCAGGCCTGCTCCCCAGGGTGGTTCTGCTCTCAGCATGGCCAGAGATCCCCAGAGGGCTTGTGTAAAGAAGGATGGTTTTGCCCAGAGGGCTCTGTGTCAGCCCAGCATTCAGGTAGGAAATCTTTGGGTCGTTCTTTACCTACAGGAGGCACAGGGCTTAAAATCTGACCTTAGTTACGCTTTCAAGTCACGTTTAGAAATGACTAGTTCTTTAGATTAAAACGCGTTTGCAACACAGGTTTAGTGGTGTGTAAATTGTGTGTAAATGTAGTAGGAAAAATAGGGGATCTTACCAAGGCAAAACCCAAGCTGAAAACAATATCCCAAGAGAAGTTTATTCCATGGGATATTTTCACCTTTGTTAGAAAGAGAGCAAGAAGATGCATAAGCAGTTGTCTATTCTCTCTTTCATAAGAGTGATATACGCATAAGTGTAACTCAGATTCTGATGGATTAAAAACATCCATGGGGCTCTGAAGGGGAAGTTATTGAACCATGTGGCAGTGCAGAATGGCTTTATAAAGATTTTATATCCTATTAAATCTTCCAGTTCTAGGTGTGTGGTGGTGCTTCCCCTCATGGCACTATAGAGCTGTTCAGCACATAAGCAGAGCAGTGACATTACAAGTGTGTTTCTTTCTTTGTTCCTAGACTATTTGTGTCCTGTGGGTCACTATTGCCCCACTGGCAGCGCAGAGCCCATACCCTGTCCCTCTGGAAAATACCAGGATCAGGCTGGGAAAAGCCAGTGTGAAACATGCCCAGCAGGGATGTAAGTGAAGTGGATTCTATCCTTGCTCTTGATGCTTTCCTTAGGAATTAGCATGTGCATTTCCCTCTGCCTTAGACTGCTCTGTGTGTTGCATCCTTTGATACACAGGGCTGGTTTTCTTGTTTCTGTTATCACCTTTCCCTTTATTGTGTCATTTTTCTGTACCACAGTCTATGAACCATAGAAAACCCATCCTGGGAGCTCTGTCTGCTGGGATGGACAAAATGCTCCTGACAGGTTGCATCTTGGTTCTCCATTTACTTCCTTCCATGTAATTGACTTTCCTTTTATTGTGGAGTCTTAGACTGTCACTGTTGTGCACAAGTTTCTTGGCCTCTGGCAGGACTTCTGGCCTGAGGCAAGACTTGGGCTCTTTTGGGCAGGTTCTGTGCCCTAGAAGCCCAGCCAGGTGACCTCCAGAGCTTCCCACATGGTGTGGTCAAGGCAGTAGAATGCGCAGCAGGGTACTACTGCCTGCCAGGAACAAAAGCTGCCAATCAATACCCATGCCCAGAGGGCACCTACAGCAACCAAACTGGGCTGGAAAATGCCAGGGGATGCAAGCCTTGTCCTGGAGGCATGTTTTGTGCCAGTGCAGGTAGGAATCACCTATGGGTTACATAGAATCCTAGGCTGGTTTGTGTGGAGCAGAGCCGAAAAGTTTCTCCAGTGGGTGCTCTTCTGTATGCGGTTTATGTGACTTTGAAGTAGCATTTGCAGTGAGCTCTGGGACCCCTTGAGTAGGATTCTTTGTGATCACGCCCAAGACTTTTGCAGTCTTTTGTAAGCTGAATGAAAGAGGCAGATTGAGGTGCGTCTGGTTAAGCAAAGATGATGGAACCACAAACCAAGCAGCTTGGGTTCTAGGACTCATTAGTTTTCGGTTGCCTCTTAGTGGATAGAGCAAGCCCCCCCGTCTGTGAAGATGATCTAGAAAGCTCTTTAAGCCTTTAGCTACCTGGTAAATGAATACGAAGACCCTGGATTGAGCTTTTAAGGGGCCATCAGACTCTGCAATCATTGTGCTGACAAGGCTTGGCTGGGTTGTTTAGTCCAGAAGCTGTGATTTACATCACGCCACTGGCTTATGTTTTATGCTCCTTGTCTTTAGGACTCTCCTCCCCAAGTGGTCCTTGTTTGCCTGGGTATTACTGCACTTCAGAGGCTCGAGTCCCCAATCCTGCCCATGAAGAGGCAGGCAGCCTTTGCCCAGCAGGACATTACTGCCCACCAGGCAGCAGCAAGCCAGAGCCGTGTCCCGCTGGCACCTTTCTGCCTCAGGCTGGGATGGGTCATGGTAATGCCTGCGTGCCCTGCCCTGCGGGGAGGTTCTGCCAAGGAGAAGGCCTGGCCAGTGTTTCTGGTGTGTATTGCGTGCATCTGACATCTTTCTTGTCTCCCAGGATTGGCTTTCTTGATGTTCTCTCATTGCTTAAACCTAATGCAGGAGCTTTTCTCCCTTGCAGGAACATGTTACGCTGGGTATTTCTGTCACCGTGGAGCCACGCAGCCAGATCAGGAGCACTGCCCCCCTGGCTTCTACTGTCCTGAAGGCTCTGAATCCCCAGTCCCTTGCAGTCCTGGAAGCTTCAACCCGAACAGTGGGAAATGGCAGCCTGCAGCCTGTCAGCCCTGCCCAGCTGGGTACTTCTGCAGTGGTGAGTTACACAATGTGAGCCAAGATAGACACCCACTGCAGCTTTATCCTTACAAGCTCATGCTTAGCAGGTACAGGAGAAGAAACTCGGTTAGTGCCACGCATCTTCTTTGGTTAGCAGCAGTTTATGCAGGATGTACACCAATATAAACACCCCAAGTCATTTGTCTCCCAAAACTCACGTTGGGATCTCGGTAGCAGTCTCAGGTCACCCGCAACACTTCTTGCTTGTTATCACACCTTTCTCCCTTGGCTCAGCCACATCTTCTAGATGCCTATTGTGTCTTTGGCCTCAGGAAAACAAAATAGCTCAGCAAACGGGCCCTTGGTGCTCGCTAACAGCCAGGGTCTCTGCAGCTTCTCAGATGTTCTTACCATCTGGCTGTGCAAGATGTTTCTGTGCTCCCCAGCCAGCACTGCAATGTCTGTGGTCACGCTGACAGTAAGAGCTTCACCCATCACCTTCTGTGAGACAAAGAGGCTTTGACTTTCTCAGGTGAGGAATTGAAGCAACAGGAAGGAAATGACTTGACTGAGCTAACACAAAGCTTCTAGCAGAGCTGGAGCCACAACTGAGAGCGTCACTCACAGCTGAGCATTGAATTGGAAGCCTGTGTTAAACCAGGCAGATAATTCAGAGCTTACTTTCCTGTACAATAAGATGTCCTTTGTCTGAGGCTGAACTTCAGAGAATTGCTGCTTTCTGACATGTATTACAGGCATGTATGTATGATGGAGATGGTGATTTCAGGAGCTAAGGGTTTCCATTGTCTTTGATCTGGCAAAGGAAGAGGAAGGGGTTTGCTTTTGTCGTTGCAGAGCTGGGTAAAACCAGTTCTGAAGGACCATGTTCTGCAGGCTACAACTGCACCCCTGGCCAGACTTCTGTAACCCCCATCACTGCCCACGGGGCTTTTACTGCCCAGTGGGATCTGCCTTTCCTATACCCTGTGAGAATGGGGCATAGCAGTCCCAGGAGAGGAAGGACTTTGTGACCTCTGCCCAGCAGGACTCTCCTGTGAGGAGTGTGAAGGGGGGGCTGTGTGTTGTGGTAAAAGGGATTCCATGTCGTTTAGGGCTGAGTCTGCCTGTTAGTGACACAGACAATAAAAGGTTATTCTGAATGCTGCCTTTCTTCTGTTAAGGTTCTGCTAAGTCAGTGTGGGTTGGACGGGACATGCAGGAGCAGCAGTTTCTGCCAAGAATGGAAGGCAAAACCCGTTTCAAAGCCCATGGGGTTGTTGGGTGAACAAGTAGGCTGAAGCCAAATCTTTCTCCTATTTGGGGAGAGAAGCTCCATGCCCAGGAAAATACCAGTTACGAAGCTCTCACTGTGTCACTGCTCATGCATGCAACAAGATGAACCACACGGAATGGGGCTGCACAGCTCCCTAGATGGGATTGTGCTCCTAAAGCCATAGGCAGCTCCTGTCACCTCCCCTGAGCAAGGTGCTGTGCTTGTGTCCTAGGCTCTGGAGCGCATACTCCTGAGGTGTGTCCTGCTGGGTACTTCTGCCTGCCTGGCACCAACTCCAGTTTGGAGCACCCATGTCCAAAGGGCACCTTTGGCCCCAGGAGTGGTGCCACCAATGAGTCTGACTGTGAGCCCTGCCCCACAGGTGAGCAGGGAGTTGGCACAAGCAACCCAGGGGCATACATGGGAGGGATGAGGAATACTTCTCCCTTCATGCTATTGACTCCTCCGCCGATCTTCTGTGCAGGCCCTCACACTGAGATTGCTTTTCTGCTCCTTGCAGGCATGTATTGCTCAGCACCAGGCCTGTCACAGCCATCTGGATTTTGCTATTCAGGTTATCATTGTGCCAAGGGAGCCATCAGCCCAGCCCCATTCAAACACAGGGTGAGTAAGTGCCAGGCAGCAGCGCAGTAAACCCGGTGACATGGGGACCTGTCCCTTCTGGGGCAACGTTTTCCAAGCATTTCTGCTCTCTGTGGGGTTGCTTGTGCCTTTTATCGCTGCCCTTGAGAGCTCCTCAGATGCAGTGACATGCCACTGCTCTTGATGTCCACTGCAATGTGTTGCTGCCCACAGATAAACTCTGCTCAGACCCCTGTGTAGCTTGCACTGAGGTGTCATGTCTAATACCTCCTCCAGGAGATGACACAGGGATGGGATAGCCACATCTTGGCAGCCAGTGCCAGCTGTGGTCTTTGTTTAGTTCCAGTAGCAGCAGACTTGTAGGACCTCAACATCAGAAGGACATGGAGCTGTTGGAGGAGGAGGGGGCCAGGAGGATGCTCAGGGGCTGGAGCACCTCCTGTATGGAGCCAGGCTGAGAACACTGGGGCTGTTCAGCCTGGAGAAGAGAAGCTACGGGGAGACCTCAGAGCAGCTTCCAGTGTCTGAAGGGGGCTACAAGGATGCTGGAGAGGGGCTCTGCATCAGGGACTGTAGTGATAGGACAAGGGGTGATGGGTTCAAACTGAAACAGGGCAAGTTCAGGTTGGAGATAAGGCAGAAGCTCTTCCCTGTGAGAGTGCTGAGGCGCTGGCACAGGGTGCCCAGAGAAGCTGTGTCTGCCCCATCCCTGGCAGTGTTCAAGGCCAGGTTGGACACAGGGGCTTGGAGCAAGCTGCTCCAGTGGAAGAGGTCCCTGCCTGTGGCAGGGGTTGGAGCTGGAGGAGTTTTAAGGTCCCTTCTAACCCAAACCGATCTGGGATATTATAACTCTGCTCCTCTGTGCCCTTTCCAGAACCTTGTCTGTAGCACATGGTGCCAAGTCTCTCAGTAACACTTCTCTCCTCTGTTTTATTGATGCAGGTGGAATCTTCCAGCCTTGGGCTGCCCGGGAATGACATCTGTCCTGCAGGGCACTTCTGTCCCCGTGGTACAGAATACCCTGTGCCCTGTCCTCCTGGCTCCCTCTCCAGCATGGTGGGGCTGGAGGCAGAGGAGCAGTGCCAGCCCTGCCCGGCTGGACGCTACTGCAGTGGGGCAGGACTGTCTGATCCAGCCCAGACCTCGCCGTGTAACGCAGGGTATGGGCAGACACTCGCTTCCTGGGGCAAAATAGCAGGATTTGCCTTAGAATCTTTGAAGTTATTTCACTGGTTTTATCAAAACTGAAATAACCTGGGTTTCCAAGGGATGTTTCTTATGCAACGTGCTATAGTGCAGGGTGTCCCTGTTCATTGAAGGGGGTTGGAACAGGATGAGCTTTGAGGGTCCCTTCCAACCCAAACCCTCCCGTGATTCTACTGTGGTGACCCTTGGTTCTTGGTTATTGCCTCCCCCGTCTATTTCCCCAGAACAGGGCTGTGAGCTCTTTGTTTCAGGTCTGAATTCTCTCTCTACAGCTATGTTTGCCTGGAAGGAAACTCTGCTCCCTGCCCTTCTGATGGGATTCATGGATACAGATGTCCCAGTGGTTTCTACTGTCCTGCAGGCACTGTGCTAGAGCTGCCCTGTGAGCCTGGCACATTCAGCCCTGTGCCTGGGGCCAGCGCCTGCCTGCCTTGCCCTGCTGGTATGGCCTGCAGCAGGGCAGCCACTGTTGAGCCACTGAGCTGCCCCAGAGGTGAGCAACACGAGTGTGCGGCAATGGGAAGAGGTACTGATGCCTGCACAACTGCTGGCGCTGGTTCACTCCAGGGGATGGGGTATTTGCCCTTGGAGCAAGCTCAACGTGTCCACCTCTTCTCCTTTCTTTTTTGAGCAGTGCCTCACTCCCCTCTCCCCATGTTACAGGTTACTACTGTCCAGTTCAGACTGCTGCCCCCCTGCCGTGCCCCGAGGGGACACTGAACACTGTGGAGGGGGCATTGGCCCGCAGCGCCTGCAGGCTGTGCCCAGTGGGGAGGTACTGCAGAGGAGATGCCAACTGGGAGCCTGATGGTGAGTTTGGTTCATAGCAGACACCCACCACAGGGGGGTTGGAGAGTCAGGGCTGAAGGATGTGGGGAAGTGGAGAACGTATCTCAGGGAACAGAGGTAGTGAAGGCTATAGAAGCGCACCCCCTGCCCTCTGTCTGTGCCTATCAGTCATTTCTGTTTCATTCTTCGAGCTGAGCATTTGTTTTGGATGTCGCTTTCATGTAACTGCATCACTTCTCTTATCCCCCTTAGGTTTTTCCCCTTTCTCATTCTATGTTTTTAACCCTTTTATTGCTCTTTTCTGTCCTCCAAAATCCTACCCTTCCCATTTAAGCACGGAGTAGGCGTCACTGGGCCAAAAGCAAAGGTTGGAGGCATGAAGAGCAGAGCCACAGCTCTTCCCACACAAGACAGAATATGGGGAACCAGTTAGAGAAATGAGGAGAATAGGCAAATGCCAGATGAGGTCAGTGCAGGTCAGGAAGGGCAGTGATAGAGACCAAAGATGGATGGGAAGGAGAGAAGGCAAACCAAAGGCCCAGGATATCACCAGTGATAACACAGGTTCTTGTGGGGGGTTGAGGAGGTGCTCCCTCGCTGACCGCCGTGCCATGGGCTGGTGACTGCTGCCCTCTCTGTCCCCCCATGGCAGGTCTGTGTTCAGCTGGCTACTACTGTGAAGGAGGAGCCACTGATGCCATTCCACGTGGGACACCTGCATTCCCGCTCAGTGGACCCTGCCCACTTGGGCACTATTGTCCAGAGGGCACCCATTTCCCAGTTGCCTGCCCAGCTGGGACCCTGAACAATGCCACGGGTGAGTGTGGCTTCACCCACAGGGTTCTCCTGTGGTCCACAGGCAGTCAGGCCTGAGGGTGGCAATGGGTTATCAGTCCAAAGAAGCGCTGACGATGCTGTGGCAGCACTGGGTGTACATTCATCATCTCCCTGCTGGCCTTCACTTCTGGTTTGCTCCCAGGTGGTGCCTCCCTGGAGAGCTGTGTGCCATGCTACCCTGGCTCCTTCTGTGCTGGTGTTGGGCTGAGCTCTCCAACAGGACCTTGTGCTGAGGGGTTTTACTGCCCAGTGAACTTCAGCTCCGTCAGCCCCACAGCTTTTCTCTGCCCTAAGGTGAGAGGTGGGTCTCAGCTCCAGGCAGGAGGTTTCATTTCCCACAGTCGTGAAAGGCCATGGAATTGTTGATTACATCCCCGCAGGACGCTGCTTGGGCAGTTCTGGGATCACCCTTTATACGGATCCTATCCCCATGCAATCCGCTTCCTCCTGTCATTGCCAGGGTCACTTCTGCAGCTCCGGGGCAGCCCATCCAACGCCGTGCCCTGCTGGGGAGTACCAGCCAGCCAGCGGCTCTGCAGCCTGCATCCCGTGCCAGAGAGGATTCTACTGCCAGGAGCTGGTGGCAGGAGACCACAGGCGCTGCCCCCCACATTCCTACTGTCCTACAGGTACACTGGAACTTGCACACCAAGGATCCCAATGTTGTGGCTTCACTGTGACCCAGGAGTTGTACAAACCTAATGTGTGTCATCCTGTAAGCCAGGTGATGGGAAGTGGCAATGAGCAGATGTGGTGTAGTTGGCATCTTGCTTCCTGGGAGTCAGCTCCTCCGTTATAGAGTCTTGTCAGAGCACAACAGGGGTTTTATTGTCTCTGTGGGCTCCCTTTCAGGCACAAGGGTTCCTCTCACATGTCCCGAAGGCACCTTCACTCCTGCAAATATGACTGGCCTGTGGAATGAGAAGGAATGCCTGCCTTGCTTACCTGGTCACTACTGCAGGTTAGGATGCATTTCGATCTGGCATCTTTCCTCTCCGTTTTAAGCAGTTTGGCATCTTGTTTTGTGCTGATGAGTCGATGCCAGGCTCCTCCCAGCTCTCTACCACATCTCTCGTTCAAAGGAAAGAAACAGAAGCCTAGACACAGCTTTGGGGTACAGAGGTGTTGGACCCATGAATTTTGGGGGCACCTCAAAGCAGTCTGATACATCTGAAAGGGATAGTAGGTAGTGCTTCTGAAAGCATGAAAGTAATGCAGGAATTCCAGCCCCGTGGAAAGTCATCCACAATTGCATCTAAAGCACTTTGCCCATGTTCGTGGAATTTGAACTGAGAACTGTCTGGTTCAAGCTATCTGCATGGTTCTGTAAGTGGCAAAATGGGTCTGTTTTCTCTCTCGTATCGGCATAAGAAGGTCTTTTTCATTGCCAAGTTCATTGCATCTCTTCCTGCACCAAATCATTAGCAGCAGGTCCTACAAAGCCTCTTCACTGCTCTCTCTGCTCCAGGCATGGGCGGCTGGAGGGGAAATGTGCTGCTGGATACTTCTGCCTTGCTGGGAGCTCCCAATCCACTCCCCAGGGCCACAGCTTCTCCTGGCGCTTGCTGACTGGGTGCCGCTGGGGTCAGGAGTGTGCAGGGCTGTGTCCTGCAGGTAAGTGAGGATCTCAGTAGTATGTTAAGTGTAAGCACAGTGACTTGCTGGAGAGTATCTGTTATCGTGCAGAACATATTGTGATCCCTTCTGCGAAGCTGTCATTGCTCATTGGTTTCCTCTGGTTTTGTGCCTTTTGAACAAAGAGGTGTGCCTGACCTAAAGGCTGCCTTGAATTTATAGTGCTAGACTGCTGGTGCAGCTGTTTTGGCTCTCTAAATGCACAGCAGCATCCCCACAGCTGTGTAGGTGTTCATCCTACAACAACAGGAGGCTCTCGCTGAGCCATTTTTGCCATTGGAGGGCTTTCAGATCTTATTTTCATCTCCTTGCCATCCCTTTCTGTAGGTTTCTACTGCCTGGAGGGATCTGAGGTACCAACACCGTGTCCTGCGAATACTATTAGAGGTGTTCCAGGAGCTGCGAAGAGAGGAGACTGCCTCCCCTGTCCACCAGGCCACTGGTGCAAAGCAGGTAGGAACTTGGAGCTGACCAGGGAGGGGAGGGAATGGGCATTGTTTGTAAGGAGAGTTTGTATCCTTGAGTCTGGTGATGGCTTTGGAAAGCTGGCCTAGGAGAACGCCTAGGAGACCAGATACTGCAGTGGGGAACAGTCCTTGCAGCAGGCACACTGTCTAGTGATGAGTTCTAGTGACTGCAGAGGAAGAAGGCACTGAGCTCTTAATACAATGTGCTGTTCCAGCAAACACTGGAAATGTGGGAGAGCCTGAAACCACAACCAGGCTCCAGATGTCTCCCTGTGTCAGAGGGGATTGGATTGTGAAGGTGGATTATGCACATCTGTGCAGGAGTTCAGGAAGGACCCAGCGAGGACAGAGAAGGAAAGTGTTCCAATTACAGTGCAAAGCTGACTCCTTAAAGCCCTGCTTTCTGCTTGCTAGGGGACTCAGAGGCCTATCCATGCCCATCAGGACACTATTGCTTCGGAGGCAATGGCAGTGAGCACAGCAGTCTCCTGGCACCTCAGAAATGCCCTCCACAAACCTACCGCAAGCTGCCAGGAGCTCAGAGCCTGACAGATTGCCAACCCTGTCCTCCTGGCTACCACTGCCCTTTGTCAGGTGAGTGCCAGGTGAAAACCAGCCTTTTCCTGCCTCTGGAGCTGGTTACAGGATTCCCTGAGATGCAATAGCACTCAGAGCCCTTCTCTAAACCCCCTCATGGCCCTGTCTTCATTCCTTTCTCTTCCTAACAGGTCTGACCGGGTTTGAGGATTATCCCTGCCCCCCTGGATACTGGTGCCCAGGTAAAGGGGATGCTTTCCTTTGTCCAGCTGGCACTTCCAGGATCCAGCCTGGTGCAAAATCATTGGAAGAGTGTGCTCCCTGCTCACCTGGATACTTCTGCCCGGATCCAGCAGAGACAGGGCTGCCTAACACCCAGGGAGTACCTTGTAAACCTGGCTATGAGTGCCCAGCAGGTGACGTGACCATGCTCCTGTTTTCTTTATTTCCAGCTATTTCTGGCTGGAATCAATCACTGTTTCCCCTTGTTTTCCACCAGGTTCAGTAAATCCAAAGCCTTGCAGGCCTGGCCTGTACTGTGCTGCTCACACAGCCCTGCCTTCCGTGTGCCCTGCTGGGTATTACTGTCCTGAAGGATCATCAACATACAACAGCCCTGAGCAGCTGTGAGTACCTGGGGTGCTTGGTGCAGCCAGCTTTAACTTTCTAAGGACTGAATATTGTGAAATGTGCCTGTGCTAAAACCCATTTTAATGCTTCAAGCATGGACTTTGTGCACTGTGCAGAAGCAAAGGTACCTCTGGAATAGAAAACAGTCATGGATTTGGCGGCTGCTAAGGCTGAGAAGGGGGATTTATGATTTCTACTTGTTAGCTTGAGCCTGGAACTAGGTGAAAACCACTTTTAGTTTTGCCCTCGGTTAGCACTGGCCATGGAATCCGGAAATCCAAACCCTTCCAGACACTTTTCCTTCTTCCCTCCTTGTTTTGCATCCCAGGTGTGTGTTTCCCTACTACTGCCCCCCAGGCAGTGCCCATCCGCTGCCTTGTGAAGGAGGGTACATGGCCCTCAGCTTGCCTGGTCCAAGGGATTCGCCTGAGAAGTTCTGCAGGATCTGTGATGCAGGCACCTACCGCAGTGACCCCCTCATCATGTCACCCTGCCAGCCCTGCCCTGCAGGCTTCATATGCCCACAAGGTAAAAGGAGCTGTCACAGAGGAAGGAGGCAAGAAATAGCAGCTTAGACTGCTAGTTTTAAGTTCTGTGTGGGCAAAGCTCTGCTGCTCCGCAGTTATAAACCCTGGTGTGGGCTGTCACATCACTTTGTGGAGCATTTATTGTGGTAGGTGGTTATGGATGAAGAGAAAGGAGCCCAGAGTGGTTTGGGTACCCATGTCCTGTCTCCCAGGGGATGACCCCTCTGGCCCTTGGGAACCGTGTTCTCCCTACTTCTGTGGCTTAGCTGAGAGGTTCAGAGTTAATGTATTACCAGAGGAGTGAGTCTAAGGGCTCAAAGTCTGTGACAGCCTCTGCTGCTTGCAGCCTGAGGGGTTAGGAACAGCTTTACGAGTACCGCAAGCCTGTTGGCTGGTATCCTGTGTGAACTTCACTGATGTGTGTTGAGCTCCCATGAAAGAGATCTTGTCTGCTCGCTCTTGCCATTGGATTTGACCAGTGAAAGAGGCAAGACAAAGAAATGAAGATTTATATTTTAGTATCAATGAAATAAATTGAATGTTTGTGAACTTTATATACAGCTGCCTATGGTAAATGCCCCATCCTGGGCAGTGTCCAGGGCCAGGTTGGACAGAGCCTTGGGTGACATGGTTTAGTGGAAGGTGTCCCTGCCCATGGCAGGGGGTTGGAACTGGATGATCTTAAGGTCCTTTCCAACCCAAACCAGTCTGGGATTCTATGATAGAGAGGTGTGGATATGTACAACGGCAATAAGTGGCCTCTGCCTATCTCTTGGCACGTGCTTCAGTCTCTACGCAGTGTCTGTGTCTCCAGGCAGTGAGAGTTACCACAAGAAGCCTTGTCCCAGTGGCCACTACTGCCCTGCCCTGGCATCTGCCCCTCTGCCCTGTCCCCCGGGGACCCACAGGAGCAGCAGCTTTGCAAAGCACATAGAGGATTGCCAGGCCTGTCCTGCTGGCACCTTCAATCACCTCCCTGCCCAGGCTGCCTGCTTCCCCTGCGGCAGCTCTTCCTCCTCTCGGCCCGGTGAGTCGCTGTGTGTGAGTGAAACTTTCACCTCTATTGAGAGACCAGGAAGGAAATCACCCAGAAATGTGATTCCCCACATTGTGGTTCCGTGATGGGCCACAAGTCCTGGGATCCTCATGATGCTGTTGGTGCTACCAACTGCTCTGCCTCTGTCCCACCCAGAAGGAGAATTCCATTTCCAAAGCTTTTCTTCCTCTTACACTCTTAGCCAAGGGGATTTGTCTCCTTCAAAGGAAGAGGTGAGCAGCCCTACTAATTCTTGTTCTATCATTGCTTTGAAAACATTGGAGCTTCGCCAAGAGTACTTTTGCCCTGCACTGGGGAGCTTGCATTAAGTATAGGTGTGCCAAAGTTGGGCACTGAACCATATCCAGCTTGGGAGAAGGCTGGAAAACTGGAAGGTAGGTGGCAAATGCCTTACCTTGTGTACTGTGGTGGATTTGAGGCACAAGAGACGGGCTAGGCAGCATTGACTAAGTCCTTACCCTACCTAATGGCTTAATGTACAAGTGAGTGGAGCGTTTGTCAATGTGCCACTGCTGCTCTTCTCTAAGGTGCAACCAGCTGTACCTGCCACGGGCTGAACCGGGCTTTCCAGCAGTCGGATGCCTCCTGCATCTGCCAGGCAGGTTACATTTACTATGATGAGAGAGGCAAGATGGACCCTGACAGCAACAGCGATCAGGATTGCCGGCCCCAGGTAAAGCTTGCCTTCAGAACAGAGCTGTTGTGTGATACAAAGGGGAGGGAGGGTGATTTGGTGCTTCAGGCCCTGTCTCAGGGTGCGTGCATTCAATCCGAGTTCAGTTCTCTGGGCTGCTGCAGACACAAGTCCTTTAGCTGCTTTGTTTGACCGTTCCGTGTAGGGTAATGGCACTTGCTTTTGCCAAATTCATAAGAGTTGGAGGCAAAGGATGCTTCTTCCATGCTGTGGCAATGGGGAGCAACACAGTGTCACAGACAAATGACAGATGCAGGAATTAAAGCTTCCACATGGCTCCTATGGAGTCCTTCGTCAGCCCTGCTTGAGGAGCTTGGATGGGATGCCATGGTCTTTCTTCCCTGCTTTCCAAGTTGTCTTTATCAGCCCTTGCGGGGTTACCTTTACTTGAACGTCAGCAGCTTGCAGGGGGAGGATTTGCGGGGTGCTGCCCCTCAGTGGGAGCTGCTCGGGTGTCCCTCACTGGCGGGGGTTGCTCTTCCAGGTGGATGAGCTCTGCGCTCCAGGAGCGGTCCGGCTCGCAGCCACACGCCAGTGCGTGCTTCCCGAGCGGTACGACTGCTCCCCTGCCTGCGGGCCCGCGGGGGGAGAGGTGAATGCAGAGCTGGGCATGTAAGTGCCATCCAGAAGGGCCTCACAGTGAGTTCTGAGTTACTGATCCCATCAGGGCATCCCGAGGGAGGTGTCAGGGGCAGAGACACCAGAATGACACTGAGGGACAAGGTGAGGGTGGGCAGAGCTCATGTTTTCCGAGGTAGACCTTCTCCATGTGCCTCAGGTTGAGGAAATCAACCCTCATTCCCCCCCTACCTTTAATGCCAACTAAAACACTAGCTTAATGCCAACTAAAAGCTAGTTCTTGTCAAATTATACTTCTAAGCTTTTTGTGGAGGAACTTCCGTATTGCAAAATCTCCTCCTGACATGGACTGCACAGAAATGAGGTGTGTTAAAGTTAAACTCTGTTTCTTTCAGCCATTGACTGAAAGCAGAACTTTAGGGAGGGATGCATAACACTGCCACAGGACTGAACTTGATCTCTATTAGATACCTGTTAGAGAGTGGGGTATTACATTTTGGCCTTTCACAGGCACTGAATAGCAGGCAGTGCTGGGTGAGGTGGTCTGTGAGCTTGCTCCATCCTGGTTTCCATGGACATAGTGTAGATTGTAAGATACTGGGGTCAGCCTGACCATCAGTGTGTTATAGCTGTTTGCTCAGAGATCGGAAATGATCAAGACCTTTTGTCCTCTGCACAGATGTCACTGCAAGCAGTATGTCTCTGCTGAGGAACTGTGTGACCAACTGTGTCTGCTGAGAGCCCCACGGATCTCCTTGGGATTTGGCATCAATAGAGAGCTGCTGCTGAGGATGAACGGAGGAGAAGTGTGGGTAAGTGTGAGGTTACACAAGGGTGGAAAGCTGCGAGTAGAGAGGAGAGACTCTCACTGCTCAGGTTCTGCACTGCTGAGAGATGACAGCTTCTGAATGGCTGGCGAAAGCCCTCCGTGGAGCAGTCTGGTACAGCTGACACTGATCACAACCCAGGCTCGAATCAGTGCCAAGTGTTGCCTCTGCTTTTAACAGGAAGTGGCAAACGTTCTGGGCCCAGATGAACACGTGCAGAAAAGCCAGCGGGTGCATTTGGTTCTGTTCAGTCCCACTGGAGTGCTGGGTTTCATTGCCTCCAGCACAGATGCTCTGGATGCATTTCTCACAGGTAAGGCTTGAGGGTGACCCAAAGTTCCAGTCAGACAAAGCCATTCATTTCCTTCCAAGTTGGCACAGAGGGAATTTATTGTCCAAGTTATTTACAAAGTTGGGAGAGATCTTGTTCTCTGTGGGAGTAACCAGTGGTGACCTGCACTGGCTCTCTGGGAGCAGGTCAAGTACAGCCTGTGGAATGATTCTGGCCTTCCAGGAAGCTAGAAGGAAACTCCACTCGAAGGCAGGTCTGTTGCTGGCTCCTAACTCCGGTTGCTGGCTCCTAACTCCGGTTGCTGGCTCCTAACTCCGGTTGCTGGCTCCTAACTCCGGTTGCTGGCTCCTAACTCCGGTTGCTGGCTCCTAACTCCGGTTGCTGGCTCCTAACTCCGGTTGCTGGCTCCTAACTCTGGTTGCTGGCTCCTAACTCCGGTTGCTGGCTCCTAACTCCGGTTGCTGGCTCCTAACTCCGGTTGCTGGCTCCTAACTCCGGTTGCTGGCTCCTAACTCCGGTTGCTGGCTCCTAACTCCGGTTGCTGGCTCCTAACTCCAGTTGCTGGCTCCTAACTCCAGTTGCTTCTCATTTATGGTAGTGTGGCTGAGAGCAGAATTTGACCTCGTGAGCTGTAATTGCCCACAGATACAAAGAGAGAGTTCTCTGTTTTCAAGAGCTCCTCATTCTGCAGAATTCATTCTGTTTCTTGCCCATGCCAGGAGACTTTTCATCACATCAGTTGCTACAGAAAGGTCATCGAATCCAGAGGGCTTCCTCCACAGATACCCACACCTTGCCCCTTGTTCCTAACCCAGTAGTATGCCTGGAAGCAGGAGACACGATCCTTTTCCAGCTCAGCATCGATTCCCACAGTGAGTGTTGTTGGGTCTCTGTGCTCTTTGTGTCCAGAGCAACGACTCCACATCTGGGAGCACGGCATATGAGCACATTCCGATACCTCCCTGTCTCTCCTGCCTTTGGGGGACTCCAGAGTTTTAGCCTAGTGACTTACATGGTGCTTTTTCACTTTTTGACTGGATCTCTACAGAATAAAAATATCATTTGTCCTCTGTTAGAAAGCAGAAGATGTTGTTGGGCAGTAATGCACACCTCAAAGGAGTTGGCCCTGCATATGGCCCCATAAGAGAAATGCAGCTCCATAGTTCTTTGCCAGACCAGTATCAACTGTCCTGACTGAAAGTGGGTCACTGTTGCTGACACTGTGCTGAACCATTCCCAGATCGTGCATCCAGCCATTACCCTGTCTATCAGAAGCAGCATCTCTATAACAGCAACCCAGGCTGGGATTTTGGAGCCTTCCGAAGGTTGGACCACCTCATCCAGGAGACTCACCTCAACATCTCCTGGTAAGAATGCCTGCTGTGGTTAATATGCACATGTCATGGTCAGGACTTGAGGGTGAGTGTGTCATGGGATCGGTGAGCAGTGAAAATGCCAGCTTGGTGTGTTCATGTATTTGACTGTCAGCACAGCTGGAGGCTGAAGGAAGCTTGGATCAACCTTCCTTCCTTTTCTTCCTTACTTTCTCCCTTCCAGGTTTGCCCATGTTTTCCTGGAGTCTGGGACATACGTTTTCAGGGATAGGACCATTCAGGAGCACTTCCTGATCGTGACTGTGAATGAAGCAAACGTGGGTTGTGACCCCCGAGATGTGTCCTTCCAGCCCTCTTCTCTGTTCCAGCTGGCCAGACATGGAGTTCTGAAGCAACAGGACCTGAACTTGGCTCCTAACTGGGCCACTATCACAGGTACAGCCAAAACACTGTGAGAGAGGGAAGGACCAGTTGTGCTTCTCCCCACTCTCTGCTTGAAGAATTCAAGTGAGGGCTTTGTTTCCCTTGACTTGAAGGCAGAAAGTGCCAGAGTGTTTTAGTGCTAAACTCAGCTGAAATGAAAGGCATCATTTATAAGGTTGCTCGAGGCTAAATACAAGGGCAGTCGAGGTCTTTCCTCAAAGCTGTGCCTCTTTAAGTGCTGTGCACATACCAGTCCCGTGTCCATCAGTGGGAGGACAGTAAAGCAAGAAATGAAAGTGTGGCTTGCATCCTCCTTGCCATCCCTCTTGGCTTTCCCAGCAGTTCTCTTTGTTCTGGGCTCCTTAACCGTGGTGCTGGCAACCCTGGCTGTAGTGCTCCAGCCTGCTGTGCCCATCATCAGCCCCCTGAAGGGTTGGAAGCCACGATGGAGGAGCCTGGGTGAGCCACACATCCCACCGGAGTACATCCTCCTTAAAGACAGGTAAACCCCCTTTGCATGGGAGCTATCAGGACACCCTGATGGTACAAAAGCATGTCCTGTTGCATTACTCTCAGTCCCTGATGCTGGACCTCTTGCCAGCTCTACAGTATGCTTTGTCTCTAACTGCACAGGGAGCTCGTTGGTGTTACCAGCAGCGTGGTGTGTAACAGCTCTGTTGTGTCCATCTTTGTTTTGACTTCAGAATCTAGCCAAGAAACCTATCCTCCTGCTTGGACTGGGCTGGTGATAGTGCAGGATCTGATTTTACTGAGGACGAGATACTCTTCTCCCTCTCCTGTCATTCCTTTTAGCCTTCAGTTCTATCAGACAGTCGGTCCTCGTGCTTCTGGAGAAGATGCTGGCTTTGAAGAGAAGGGAGCTGTGCATAATGCAGGTAAAGTGCTAGGCCAGTTTACTGCCCATCCTTTTGTCTTCTGTTAGCTCTCTAGTGTGATACTTTCATACCTACTCACCAAGGTCACACAGGCACTTTGGCTGTCCTGTACTCATGTGTGCACATTTACACACACCACACACATTTCCATTCTAGGTTCATTTGATCCCCTCAGATGGGGACTGTAACCTCCTGTCATGGAATGGGTCAGTGTTTTATTCCCTAGGAGGGCAGTGGCCAGCCCTCTTTGGCCTTGTTTGCCTTTGGGAAATAAACCTCATCTTGGGAATTTCAGGATGTTCACAGGGTACAGTAAAATCCAGAGCACAGCCGATGGTGATGCTGAGAACAGAGGAGCAGAAACCCTGAGTTAGGAGGTGATAGAAACACTCCTCCCCCTCACTAAGGAACGGGACCTTCTCTTACATCTCTTGCCTCTTCTGCTTTCCTCCTTCACACTACACCATGCTGTTGCCTCCTATGGACAGGCAGTGCCCCTTGTGGGAAATAAAGACTTGTGGCCACTCCCCAGACACTTTGTGTTTCAGAAGAGCATTTGACACGGAGGCTTCTGGAGGATTTCAGTGTTCGCACCCTCTATGATAAGCTGGAAGATCAGAACTTGCACCTGGCATCTCAGCTGGCCAAGCACAGGATGGACGTGCTGGTGTTCTACAATGGAGTCAGCCTGCAGATCCAGAGTCTCATGGTCAGTGTGGAAACAACTGAGGGAAGGGAGTCTTGCAACTGCGACGTTTGTAAGATAAATGGTTCCCCTGCAGTGGCAGTTTGCTCCTTTCAGTCCCTTCTTTTGGCATAACATAGTTGTGCTAATTCCTGGTTTTATACAAGAAGCAGAATGGGTGGACTGTGGGACTTGCAGAGTTGAACACTGCTGTTCTCTGTAAGCAGGACATGCTGCAAGCACTGGACCCTGAAGACTTGAAAAGGGCTCATGAGCACAAACCTGCAGAGAGCAGCAGGGCAGCAGCGTGTGCTGAACAATGCGATGGGCACTGTGGACACAACTCCCAATCAGGTGAGAGAGCCAAAGTGCAGAGCAAGAGAGCAGCAGTGTCAGGGAGCATCGGTGGGTGGCACAGTGCGTGATGTGTACAGTGGATGGCTCATACACATGAGAGGACATCCCACAAGACCTTGTCTTCCAGTGGTGCTGTAGTTCTGTAGGAGCTCTGTAAGAGCTGACAGCCTGTCTTCGTGTGAGTTCATTGAGAAGCCAGGCACAGCTTAGGAACAGGTAAGCACGGAGTTCTTTGGAAATGCTACAGCACGAGGCAGCTTGGAGGCACTGTGTGGCATTTCCAAAGGTTCGTGCTCTTGGTTTTGCTCTGGAGATCATTGCAGTTCTTCATGTGGTTCTGTAGGAGTCCACTGAAAGTGCCTGTTGGGTTCACATTAGGTGCTCCATGGCAAGAGGCAACAGAGTTAATGAAAGCTCTCGAGATGCTGCTGGGGAACGCTCTGTACAAGAATGTGTCCCTGAAGCGGGCCGTGGAGCAGAAGGTCCAAGGGCAGGATGTGGTGGCAGTTGTGCCCTCCCTGGACAGCCTGGCCAGTGAAGGTAAATCAGAAGCAATGGAAGGGCAGGTGAGTTGCAGGTGTCTTGTTGGGCCATCTCTCACCTTCCTGCTAGTTTTCCCACTTGCCCATTTCTTTAACTCCTGGGCCCTTTTTACCCCACAGGATCATGAACTGCTTCAGCAGTGGGAGCTCTTCAGTGGGAAAGATGTTTTTTTCAGCTTCCCTGGACATGAAGAACACGGTAAGGGCAATGATTTGGTGTCTTGGGTTTGGCTGGGATAGAGTTAGTGCTCTTCCTAATGCTGTGCTGTGAATTTAGTGTGAGAATAACGCTGGTAACACACCGATGGTTTAGTTGTTGCTCAGTAGCACTTGCTCAGTGTCAAGAACGTCTCAGTGTTCCATGCCCTGCCGGTGAGGAGGGGCACAAGAAGCCAGGAGGTAGCAGAGCCAGAACCTCAACTAGCCCAAGGGATATTCCATACCATGGAACATCATGTTCAGGATAGAAATTGGGGGGAGTTGGCCAGGAGGAGCTGATCACTGCTTGGGGCTGGGCATCGGTCAGCAGGTGCTGAGCAGTTGAACTGTGCATCGCTTCCCCCCTTGAGTTTCATTCCTCACATGTGTTGTAGACTCCCAGCCACGAAGAGCCTCTTCTTCCTTTAGGCTTAAAAGTGCCCCCCTGTTTCCTTCAGGTTTAGATGTCCAGTTGGCTTACCTGAGCGAGTTGGAGGTGGAGAGCCTGATAGCAGCTTCTCCCCTTGCCAAGACTCTGTGTGAGATCAAGCAAGCTTTGGTGAACCTGCAGCAACCTGCAGACGTTGGTAATGCAGGTAACATACCTTGCTCTGCACTGCACTGTTTCCCTGTAGTGGATAGGATATAAGATTACAGAATGGGAGAGAAGTTGTCTCTCACCCTTGGGAAAAGCCACACACAAATATCTGCTGTTGAGCTGCAGGTTGTTAAAGAGAAGTCACCTTTGATTAGCCCAAAGTGCTTGATTAATTCACATGTGCACACCGGTTTCATTTGTTCTGTCACCAGGGAATGTCATTTCTTAGAGCTTTTTCTCTTCATCACAGTCTGGGAACACTCGAATTCACCCAAGATCAGGGTGAATTGCTTAGGGAGCAATTCATCACCAAGGCAGCAGGTTCTCTTCGTGGTTTATAGCAGCATGCACTGTGCAGATAGAGCCCAAGTCAGTGTAGAGTGCTTGGAGCCAGTTCCTTGGCCTTTGGACCAGGCTGCCTTGTGTTGGCAGAGCTGTCCTCTGGTGCTGTCCCCTGAATTTGCACTCTGCTTTTGGATTGCCATACAGATGGCACCCACCAGACCAGCATGGGGGGCTCGCCCTCTTCTGAGCCCTTCTTTTGGGTCACAAAAGAGGGATGAAGCTTTGCTGCTGGAGATACAGAGGAGCTGCATTGCCCAGAGAAGAGGCAGAAATGGGAGTTAATCTTCTGCAATGAAACAGCCACCAGCTCCCTTGAGGAACCTGGGCCTTGGCAACTGCTAAAGGTGGATTACAGGAGTGTGTAGCTTAGAGCTCCCACACTTTTACCTGGCATCCCTACATTGCCTCCGTACACTCACACTGATCTCAGCAAGAGCTGCTGGCACACACCTTCAAGGTTTCTGCAGATATGATTTGAGGAGAGAGGACACTTAAACTATTCCCTCTATGGTGACTGCAGGGATCGGGGGAGCTGCCAGTGTCAGCTTCACACAGGGTGCTGGGAAAGTCCTGGATCTTATGGAATGGGAGGGATCGATACTCTAGCCCACTGAACACTTGGAGCTTGGGGTTTCTTCCCCCAAAACCTGCTGTGAATGTAGCTGGATTTGGGATTTACCTTTATGAAATCACTGCATGAACAGCCCCCCTGCTGCTCCCCACACAAACCGGTAGTGTTTTCCCCGTTCATTCCCTTTCATCCTTCCAGGATGCAGCATCTGAGGAACTGCCTCATCCCAGGACCTGAGTCCACAGCTCCCAGGCAGACTTGATGGGTTTTTTGCCTACCTAAAGTTCCACTTCTTTAGTCTCTGTCTTTATTGTGTAAGTTTTGTATGAGGAAGCTTTTATTAAAAGCCTGTTCACCGACCTTATGGCTGGTGGGTGATTCACTTGCCCTCTCCAACCCCTCACCCAGGGTTTGTCTCCTCCCTACCCCCAAGGAGTGAGCAGGTCCTGCCTGGAGGCGAGTTATTTACACACAGAGGACAAATTATGAGGTTTATTTCATATAAATTATGTCTCTGAGCAGACAGCATTCAACTTATTGCACTGGAGCACATCTGCGATATGGAGCTACAAGACATTGTAACAGAGGTTTGTATTACTCAGTGTAGCACTTCAGACCGGGCTCAAGAGGCACTCAAAGGGGGAGAACACCAAAGCCACCACCAGTATCTGCCAGTATGAACTGGGTTTTTCTTCCTATGCACCAGCAAATACCATCCCTCCTCATCCTCCCTCAACTGGTCTAAAAGAAATCCAAAAGCAGCTCAAAGGAACCAAAGCCTTCAACCCCCCCAAAAAAGCACAGCAGGTCCTCGCAGCATGAACAATACAAAGCTCTGGCTTCAGCTTCCCTGCGAGGGAGCCTGTACCACCTCAGCCAGAATGAAGGAATCCAGGTGAAGGGCTTTTGCTGGATAAAGGGAATTTTACCCCCCAGGACCATTCCCTTCATGCTGGCATCCCTTCATTGTGGGAAGGACGAGCTGGGAACAGGGTAAAGCATGTTCTTCTTGGACATCTGCAACAGCCATTGGTGGGGTTCAGGCCTTCATGAGCGCTGCGACCACGGCCTTGGCGTTAAGGCTTCGCAGATCACAGTAGGTCTGTCCGGTACCAACGAAAACGATGGGCTTGCTTGTGATGTAGGTCATGGAGATGGCAGCACCGACCTGCCAAGCACAACAAGCACAATCAGCCACTCTGCCTCCTTGCTCTTCACTCAGCACATCGCTGAATTGGGTTGCAATGCAAGAGGAAGGGAAGAGATGCCACCCGAGACAGCACCAAAGCACCCTGTGCTGGACACTTCCTGCCTCTTCAGGGGGAAGCTCCATGTGGAGATGTCTCAACAGCCTCCTTACCTTGTCATCGATGGTATCAAACTTGGTGAGGACAATCCCATCAATGAGCCGTGGTGTCTGGGCCATGGAGTGATCAGCCAGGGCCTTGTTGAACTTGACCTGAGGGAAAAAAACAGATCCAAGAAACTCATTTATGGTGCTGCCCCTGTCCACATGCCTGATAAAACCCACAGAAGCAGAGTTTTCCCCCCATAATCACAGACTGGTTTGGGTTGGAAAGGACCTTGAGATTATCCAGTTCCAACCCCCTGCCATGGGCACAAACACCTTCCATTAGAGCAGCTTGCTCCAAGACCTGTCCAACCTGGCCTTGGACACTGCCAGGGATGGGGCAGCCACAGCTTCTCTGGGCACCCTGTGCCAGCGCCTCAACAACCTCACAGTAAAGAACTTCATACCTCTAACCTGAACCTTCCCTGTTTCAGTTTGAACCCATCACCCCTTGTCCTATCACTACAGTCCCTGATGAAGAGCCCCTCTCCAGCATCCTTGTAGCCCCCTGCAGATACTGGAAGGATAACAATGATGATGATACTCTATTTCCAGGACCCAAAGCCTGGTCCCTCACCAGCTGATCCACCGCCTCGTTTCCCACCAGCGCTTCCCCAACGAACAGGACCAGGTCAGGAGTGTTGACCGCGATCAGTTTGGCCAACGCCGTCATCAAGGGCGCGTTGTCCTGCATGCGGCCCGCCGTGTCCACCAGGACCACGTCAAAGCCCTGGTTCCGAGCTGGGGAAGATGAAGAGGCACCAGTGAGCAGGATGTTCCCCCAGAACAACGTCTCCCACCACCGGTTCCTGGCGTGTACCGTAAGCGATGGCCTCCATGGCAATCCCGGCCGCGTCCTTGCCGTAGCCCTTCTCGTAGAGCTGCACCATGGTGCGCCCACCGTGGCTCTCCGGAGGGTGCAGGGCGTTGAGGCGCCGAGTGTGGGTGCGGAGCTGCTCCACCGCTCCAGCCCGGAACGTGTCACAGGCAGCAATGAGGACACTGAAACCATTCTCAATGAGCCAGAACGAGATCTGAAGCAGTAAAGAGAGGAAGAAGGAACACCCGTCAGCAACTACAGCCTCACCTCCTCACCCTGACCTCCTCACCAGGAGCACCGTGTCCAACCTTGGCCAAGTTGGTGGACTTCCCAACACCATTGACGCCACAGAAGGTGACCACATAGGGTCGGCGGTGGCGCTGGGCATCCATGACATCCCGGAGGACATCCACCCGGCGCTGGGGCTGCAGGATCTGGACCAGAGCCTCCTGCAGGGCCTGCTTCACTGTCGAGGTCACCGCTGGGAAGGAGGAGGTGGAGTGAGCTCTCACCGTCACACCCGGGAACGCTCCTGAGCCCCATACCATGAGCAGGAGGCCTCATGACCACTTACTGGTGAACGTTCCCATCACTTTCCCTTCCAGTTTCTTGGCCACTGACTCACAGAGCTGCACCGCGATCT